TGATAAAAATGGTGTGGTTGCCGGCCGGACTTACAAAAGCCCAGTGTTGAATTGCTAATCTTAAAATGATGTTTTAGGGTAACCGGTCAATGTAAAAATGTATATTACATTGCTCATACATTGGTTAGTAGGGGTGGGACGATACACAGATCTTGCGATACGATACGTATCTCGATATATTGGCACGATACGATACGTATCTCGATATTATGATAAATCATAAAACTATTTTAAAAAATAGTATTTTATTTCATTTTTTTATCTTGACATTAACACAACATGATAAATTATAAAACTATTCAAAAGGAATTAGTATTTTATTTAATTTTTTTGGTCTTGACATTAATTCAAAAAATTATTCTATATCAAATCATGTGTGCTATGAAATTAATACTTGAAGAAATGAAGTTCATCAACTTCATTGACTAAAACTTTATAAAAACAATAGTACAGGACAATTGTACATACTACCAAATTTCTATTAACAAGTTGTTTACAAATAGTTGTGTAGTTTACCAACGAACACTGACTAAAAATCCATTTTAAAAAAAATCACATTTACATTATTATTAATTGCTGAAAGTCTGTAGCCAAGTTGAGATTACAAAAAAAAGTATGAATGGAATAACAATTAATAATATCAAATGTTCTGGAAACGATACTTTTCTGTGAATAGCACGCTTTGCACACTGACCTTTTCTTGTCCAATCTACCGAGGCTGCTTAAAAGTGAAAACGTATTACCCCTAATCAACGACTTATCAGTTCTCAAGTGTGTTTTCAGTATCAAAACCATCTCTTCGCTTCGTACAGGCCGCCATTTTCAAGTACAGGTACTTTCATTTTCAACTTTTGGATAGGTCGTTCGTGTATCGTTTCGTACCGATATTTGAATGCTTGTATCGTAAACCGTATCTTAGAGGAAAATATCGATATGTATCGGTGTATCGGTATATCGTCCCACCCCTATTGGTTAGTCTGTCGTCTATGGGCCAATGTTTGTTTGAACATGGACCAATGATCGGCTGATGTCTGTTGCCCACTCAACCCCCAACGGCATCAGATTCAACGGACACTTGATCGGCCATACATCAGCCAATCTTTGCATTTAAGATGTGTTAATGATGGATTGCCGAAGAGGAGATATGTGGGGCATTGGTGGAGACATTGCTGATTTTTAACTACATCTTACCAGTATTTTCTACCGATGACCCCCATCGATTCACCAGATGACATGGGTTTCTCATAGTATACCCCATCACTGGATAATGTGACCAATATGGCTGGGACATAATATCGATATTACAATATATTGCGATACAATGACAAAAAATATCGTATCACTATACAATTTTGTAATACATGTATTGATATATTAGCAATATGCTTAGATTAAGGAATTTTGTCATTAAATATAAAAATGGACTTATGAAAGTTTCTTATTAAGCCAAACAGTAAGACAGAAGTTGTTTTGTGGGAACATTCCAGAGCTTATCATAGTTATGTACATTCTGCATGTAAATTAAAATGCCATCTGAGTTGCTGGTGTAAAGAAGATTAATGACTTTCAAAGAATAATGATCGGGAGTCAAATTTCAAGTGATTCAAAAATTCCAATCTCCTAAAACCTTGTATCCATTATTTTTAATTTTAACTTAGAAAATTTCAGCCTTCTAAACCCTTGTATCCATTTCTTATAGTTTTATAACCTGCTGTACCCATGTGTACCCTTTGTACCCACTGTACCCTGAGCATCGGCTCCATTATTTTAAATTTTAACTTAGAAAATTTCAGCCTTCTAAACCCTTGTATCCATTTCTTATAGTGTTGTAATTAACCTGCTGTACCCTTGTGTACCCTTTGTACCCACTGTACCCTGAGCATCGGCTCCATTATTTTAAATTTTAACTTAGAAAATTTCAGCCTTCTAAACCCTTGTATCCATTTCTTATAGTTTTGTAACCTGCTGTACCCATGTGTACCCTTTGTACCCAGTGAGTACCCTGAGCATCTGCTACATTATTTTTAATTTTAACTTAGAAAATTTCAGCCTTCTAAACCCTTGTATCCATTTCTTATAGTGTTGTAACCTGCTGTACCCATGTGTACCCTTTGTACCCACTGTACCCTGAGCATCGGCTCCACTATTTTTAATTTTTACTTAAAAAATTTCAGCCTTCTAAACCCTTGTGTCCATTTCTTATAGTGTTGTAACCTGCTGTACCCATGTGTACCCTTTGTACCCACTGTACCCTGAGCATCGGCTCCATTATTTTTAATTTTAACTTAGAAAATTTCAGCCTTCTAAACCCTTGTGTCCATTTCTTATAGTTTTGTAACCTGCTGTACCCATGTGTACCCTTTGTACCCACTGTACCCTTAGCATCGACTCCATTAATTTTAATTTTAACTTAGAAAAGTTCAGCCTTCTAAACCCTTGTATCAATTTCTTATAGTGTTGTAATTAACCTGCTGTACCCATGTGTACCCTTTGTACCCACTGTACCCTGAGCATCGGCTCCATTATTTTTAATTTTAACTTAGAAAATTTCAGCCTTCTAAACCCTTGTGTCCATTTCTTATAGTTTTGTAACCTGCTGTACCCATGTGTACCCTTTGTACCCACTGTACCCTTAGCATCGACTCCATTAATTTTAATTTTAACTTAGAAAATTTCAGCCTTCTAAACCCTTGTATCAATTTCTTATAGTGTTGTAACCTGCTGTACCCATGTGTACCCTTTGTACCCACTGTACCCTGAGCATCAGCTCCATTATTTTCAAATAATTTAGAAAATTTCAGCCTTCTAAACCCTTGTATCCATTTCTTATAGTGTTGTAACCTGCTGTACCCATGTGTACCCTTTGTACCCACTGGTACCCTGAGCATCGGCTCCATTATTTTTAATTTGACTTATATAGATGTTACAGTCTTCCTACCACTGGGAAGCATCTACTTTCGTTTTCAGTAGGAATAAATAGTGTACCCTTTTTGTAACCTTTTCTTCATACATTTAATAAGGGTGTACCCTAGGGTACAAAAGTATCACCTAAAAACGCAGTACCAATTTCTTGCCATATCTACATTAGGTACAGTAAACCATAGGGGCTTGTCTTCGGGATTGTTAAATGTAAAATAAATTTTAAAAATTTTGAATCTTCTTTAAATACATTTAAAAGTTGTTAAAATAAAGATCCTGACACTTTCAGGCAAGAAAAACCATGTTTAAAAAAGACGTATCACACCTATATACTAAACTCTATAAGGGACGCAAGCTCCCATCTTGGAAAAAATACCCCCGCCCACTTCAGCGCCTATTTCTGGACTCTAAACCATTAATTTATTTTGGTATCATGGCTCTGTCCCCTACAGTGATGATTTTCCTAAATGTTGATGCGATTGTCAGTCGTTTAATCAACAGTCAACGGATACAATTTCTTCGATTTGAGCTCATTTCGCTAAATCGACCCAAAAAGAACGGAAGTTGACATGGTTGCATGGTAACAACGCAAGGGCGATAATCGTTGTATAGCATATAGCGCGCTTTTAAATTATGTAACAAATTACTTATATATTAAATGAGTCTTTCCAATGACAATTTAGCCTGTGAAACTAAACTTCAGCCCGTATTTATCATTTTTCACTGTCTTTTTCTTGTCGGTAAACATTTTTCTCCACGAAGCTGGAAATCCTTGGATGTTACCATTCGCTTTCGATTACCCTCTGAGTTTTCCCTATACAATCATTATCTGCCCTTGCAATTTTGTCAACTTCCGTTCTCTTTGGGTCGATTCAACGAGATGAGCTCAAATCGAAGAAATTGTATCCGTTTACTGTTGATTAAACACGTGTTCACGATGGACAATCGCATCAACATTTAGGAAAATCATCACTGTAGGGGACAGAGCCATTAATAGCTACGTAGGTATTTAAAGCTACCCAAAGTAGCTATTTTTACCTACTTTTTGTATTATCTACATTTTGTGGCCAAAGGACTGAACGGCGCAACATGGTAAATACCATATTTTTTTATACAGTCACACTAATGATGAATACGACAAAATTTTGACCAAATAACGATTACTTCCTGAATGGGCAATTTTACATTACTTTCTATGCAAAATTGATAATATACGAAGTAATCATTTTTTGGCCAAATTTTTGTCAACTCCATCATCAGTGTGACTGTATCAATAAATTCAGTGCTCACCATGTTGCGCCGTTCCTGCGTTTGACCACAAATTGCAAGTGAAGCAGAAAGTAGGTAAAAATAGCTACTTTGGGTAGGTTTAAATACCTACGTAGCTTTTAATAGCTACGTAGGTAGAAATAGTCTTTGGACTGGACCTGAACAGGTCCAAGTATGTTACAATCAGTTCATTTATCAAGGTATTACCTATCGTAGCTTTATTTACCTACCTCGGGGAGCTTTATTAAGCTATTTCAATGGAGTTTTCACTATTTTTGTTTTCATTTATTAAAGACAAAATATCTGAAGTAAATATACAAGGGATGTTTAAAAAAGAAAACCAAAGAAATAGCTTATACATTGCTGTGCACTTATATTAAGCACTTTTATTAAGCAAAAGATGTATTCCTAGTGTTTGAGTAACTAGCTATGAGGCATGGATAAATATTGTTAAAGAGACATTTTATTTGCCTCTGCTGGGGATTGAACTTGGGGGCTCTGGCTTGCCAGTCTAGTGCTCTTCCTACTGAGCTAAAGGGTTAACCTACTAGTCCAAGCTAGTAGGAAGCTGTGTATCTTACAATACTACATTGTCCCCCTAAAGAGAATGAGATTACTTCATCTTTTGAAGTGCCTACAACCGTGGGGCAAAGTCCTAGGGGCAGTCACTCTCACCTGCCAGAGAACACCTGGGTCCCTACATGGGCGCCAAATGTAACAATTTTCATTCACATTTGCAAAATATTAAAAAAAAAATCCACAATTCCTATTTTGTATGTGAATTGTTTCTACCAGTGTTTTTATTTTTATAGTCAACATAAGTCATGGACCAGGATTTGTATGATGAGTTTGGGAATTATATTGGTCCAGAACTAGACAGTGATGATGATGATGAAGAGGATTCTGATGATGAAAGAGAAGAACAAGTCGACAGGGAATATGGAGATGTAAGTGGAGATCCTTGTCATCAATCTGTTACCTCCGAGTTGGAATTATTAAACTTGAAATATTTACATTCTGTGTATTTCTCTTATGAAATTCATTAGAAATCCACCACATTCAAATTTCTGTAACACATGCGAAACCTTGTCACCGCGCGTTAGAATACACAGTAGGAACTATATGCATTTTCTATAATCTAGGAACACCAAAATGTACAATATGTTGACTCAATTTAAGCAAAAATTATCATCCTGTTAAATTAACGTAAAATTACTACAAATGTGCGTTTAAAATTAATTTGTCACTTTTTCCCCTCGCAATGTTTGTTTGCGTTTTTTAACTTTACAACGTCATCTGACGTCACAAACAGCTCTTACGTCTATTAACCACTTCAGTTTTGAAAGGCGCTAAATTCGCATTAAAGATTAACGAAATAAGTAATTATGAAGCAGGAAAATTAGAGAATGTAAATATAAGCATTGAATTCATATTTTTGGCTTTCTTCGGTCCTATAACACACCTGGCCGTGCCGACAAATTTATCATACCATGCTAACGCGCGGTATTCAATTTGTCGGCACGGCCAGGTGTGTTATAGGACCGAAGACAGCCAAAAATATGAATTCAATGCTTAAAAAAAATCCATTTTATTCCCAAAACATGTTTCTTTAATTAATGAATAAACAAAAAACGATGAACAGCAGACATAAAATGCCTATGACAGTTCTCTCCGTAGAAACAAAGTATGTACAGTAAAGTATCTAGAACTTTTCATTTAAAATTAGATATATAGTTAAAAAGTTGTAAATCTGGTCATTGTCAAGATTTTATGGATTAAAATGTTGATGAGTTGGTAATGAATAATTTGACTGATGTTTTCAGGATGATGATGAAATGGAACAAGATGATGATCAGAACGAGATGCAGGTGGTTCTTCACGAGGACAAGAAGTATTACCCCACGGCGGAGGAGGTTTACGGACCAGAAGTCGAGGTCAGTGGTACAAATGTTCAGGGAAATTACTGAGTTATTCACACATTTTACATAATTCAAATAATTCAACGAGTTTTATCATCCTGCAAACAATTTTTTTTGTGTCATACTTAGATTTTACATTTAATCTTTTTTTTATACCAATGTTAGACTTTTATAAAACTTTTTACTGAATGTTTTTACAGACCATCGTTCAAGAGGAAGATACCCAACCTCTGACAGGTAAAAATAAAAAAAATTAGTTTTAAAATGATGACAAAGATTGATTTCTAAGCTACAGTGGTAGCATATCTACATCTCATGCTAACTACTAGTTTCTCCACAGAATGGAATCCACTCTCATTCTTTAAAAATATCTAGTCGTCAGCAAGTATAGGAAATAAAACCATGTCTGATTCTGACTCTTGCATACCTTTGCAGAACCAATCATTGCTCCAGTGAAAAAGAAGAAATTTGCCATGACAGAACAGGATTTACCTGCAACTACCTACAACATGGAGTAAGTTCTCACATTGTGATGACTGTTGTGTTCTAGGCACTTTATTTCATAAGCTCTCAGATAAGTCACAATCACCGTACTGACTGTTGTTATAAAGTGTCCTGGGCATCGTTATTCATGGAATAAATCAGTGTTTTGAAATGTTTAATGTATCTCATTCTACAGATAGATTTTATAGTGTTTTTTAACAGTGTTTTACTGCAAATGTTTTATGCATCTTATTATACCCCACGCATTAGTTGCGTGAGGTATAATGTTTTTGACCCGTCCGTCAGTCAGTCAGTCATAGTGTCAGTCAGTCAGTCAGTCCTTTTTTTTTGTCAGCGCAACTCCTCATAAACCGCTGCACAGAATTTCGTCAAACTTTGCAGGTATTTAGGACACAATGTGTAGATGTGCATATTACCAGGAAATTCCGATTCCATTATTTTTTCCGAGAATTTCCGCACTTTTTAACTTAGGCATTTGGCCATACCTTGAATATAGAGATGAACAGTTTGTCAGCGCAACTTCTCATAAACTGCTGCACAGAATTTCATCAAACTTTGCAGGTATTTAGGACACAATGTGTAGATGTGCATATTACCAGGAAATTCTTGATTCCAATATTTTTTCCAGGAATTTCCGCACTTTTTAACTTAGGCATTTGGCCATACCTTGAATTTAGAGATGAACAGTTTGTCAGCGCAACTCCTCATAAACCGCTGCACAGAATTTCGTCAAACTTTGCAGGTATTTAGGACACAATGTGTAGATGTGCATATTACCAGGAAATTCCGATTCCGTTATTTTTTCTGGGAATTTCCGCACTTTTTAACTTAGGCATTTGGCCATACCTTGAATATACAGATGAACAGTTTGTCAGCGCAACTCCTCATAAACCACTGCACAGAATTTCGTCAGATTTGCAGATATTTAGGACACAATATGTAGATGTGCATATTACCAGAAAATTCCGATTCCTTTATTTTTTCTTAGAATTTCCACACTTTTCAACTTAGATTTTTGGCCATACCTTAAATATAGAGATGAACATTTTGTCAGCGCAACTCCTCATAAGCCGCTGCACAGATTTTCGTCAAACTTTTGAGATATTTAGGGAACAGTGTGTAGATGTGCATAATACGAGGAAATTCCGATTTCTTTATTTTTCTGGGAATTTTGGCACTTTTCAAATTAGATTTTTGGCCATACCTTGAATATACAGATGAACATTTTGTCAGCGCGACCCCTCATAAACCGCTGTACAGAATTTCGTCAGACTTTGCAAATATTTAGGTTACAGTGTGTAGATGTGCATATTACCAGGAAATTCTGATTCCTTTATTTTTCTGGGAATTTTGGCACTTTTCAGATTAGATTTTTGGCCATACCTTGAATATACAGATGAACATTTTGTCAGCGCGACCCCTCATAAACCGCTGCACAGAATTTTGTCAGACTTTGCAGATATTTAGGACACAGTGTGTAGATGTTACCAGGAAATTCCGATTCCTTTATTTTTCTGGGAATTTCGGCACTTTACAACTTAGATTTTTGGGGATATCTTGAATATAGTGGTGAACAGGTTGTGCGCAACTCCTCATAAACCACTGCACAGAATTTCATCAAACTTTGCAGGTATTTAGGACACAATTTGTAGATGTACATATAAGTGGGAAATTCTGATTCCTTTATTTTCTTCTGGGATTTTCAGCACTTTGAGATTTAGGGGAGCTTGGGGTATGTGAGCTTGCTCACCTTTTCTTTCATTCTACTTGTTATTGATGTAATTATTTTGTTTTCAGGTTTTTGGCAGATTTGATGGACACCCCAGAACTGATAAGGAATGTTACACTGTGTGGACATCTTCACCATGGCAAAGTTAGTATGGTCTGGTGATCCACGATTAGCTTAAAATCAGAATTCCTAATCATTACATAGTCACTGTTTAAAGGGAGAGACAGAGAGTAAATATATTAATTTTTTAGTAAATTAGAGTCAAAGTTAGTAAGCCAGTCATTTTTTCCCCAAAATTTTCATCAGATCATCTCTATTGCTGACCACAAAAGAAACTTGCTCACTTTTGTGACATTACACTTTTTTCGTATAGTTAAAACTGACTAATTTGACATGTCCTGGAAAAAAAATTTTTTTGGTCGGCTTTGGCAGGGTATTGAATAAGTGTTAAAAAAAGGAAGTTAACCATATGGGAATGAAAATAGAGGTAGAAATTGAGATTGCACAGATATGGGATTATAGAGTTTTCACTTACTTTTAAATGACTCAAAAAGTAAAAAAAAAATATTATCCTTAAACAGTTTTCTTTATAAGAGTGGTAATATTATTAATTTGTGTATATAAGTACCATTGAGAATTGATCGTATGTAACATACTACTTACAGACCTCGTTTGTGGACTGTCTGATTGAGCAAACACATCCAGAGATCTACAGTAAAGACGACAAAGATGTAAGTATTCTGTAGTCTCCTTAATCTGTTAACATTTCCAGAGAAGACATACTGAAAATGGTTTTTTCTGTAAAAAAAAAAAAATTGTTCAAATGTGAGTTTTCTAACCTTTTTTCATGTTTCAGATACGCTACACAGACACTCTCTTCACAGAGCAAGAGGTAAAAAAAAGTTACAAGACAAAACAGAGGTCTCGCTTAATTTAACTTTCACATGAATTTGGAACTTCTTCAAAATATTAATCAGATATTTTTAATCGCTGATATCATTAAAAAATATTGTTTAATGCGATTATAATACTTTTAGTCTTGATTAGTAGACACATGTATTCATGCTTTACAGAGAGGGGTCAGTATAAAGGCTTCCCCAGTTACTGTAGTCCTCCCTGATTCACGAAATAAATCATTCCTGATGAATCTCTTTGATACTCCTGGTGAGCAAAAATCCTTACATCTTTAAAAGTGTTAAATTTTAATAAGTTAAGTATGTTGTCTTACTTTCCTTTTGCAATTGTTAGAATTGCTTGTAACAAGCAGTGCTCTTAATTTAAATATATTTTTCTTTCTGCAACAGGACATGTGAATTTTTCTGATGAGGTAACAGCAGCATTCCGACTGAGTGATGGCGTGGTTATATTTATTGATGCAGCTGAGGGAGTAAGTTCCTAATTCTTATCCTCATCATGTTCATCAAACACTATAGATAATTACAAACCACACTGAAAAAAAGTTCATGAATGATTTACAAGAGAATGTAAAAGTATCTGCATGGGTGTGTCTTTTTAGGTCATGTGAGTAACCCAGTAACTTCTGCCTCTTTCAAAATTATGAATTGTAAATTTCATGGCCTCTTGTTTAAAACACGAAGCAAATTTATTTGTTTGAAAGTTCTTACACGATACTAAGGTGACCTTTAAGGCCCGTGGGCCTGTTGTTTTCTTATATGATTCTTTTTTTTTCCATGTAGATAATGTTGAACACAGAGCGACTTTTGAAGCATGCTGTGCAAGAGAAACTACCTGTCACAATTTGTCTGAACAAGATTGACCGCCTCATTCTGGAACTAAAGCTCCCACCCACAGATGCATACTACAAATTACGACACACTCTGGAGGAGGTCAACTCACTTATCAGGTGAGATGGGGTGGGGAATGGGACAAAATTTTGAGGGAGAAATTTGGGGGGTGGGTGGGTGTTATAGATTTAGAGGTGAACTCTGAAAGCAGGTGAAATGGTAAAAATTCTTTAATAATTTTGCATGTTATTTTGTTATAAATGTGTTACATTTAATAAGTTTAATTTTAAAATAGGATTATTTCAATGGCAAATCCTGTCTTCTATTTGAATTACCTGTATTAACGGCGTGGTCCGTGTTTGTAGTGTGTACTCTGAGGACGAGACTGGATCCATGGTGTCTCCATTGCTGGGAAATGTGTGCTTTGCCAGCTCATACTATAGGTTCTGTTTTACACTAGGATCCTTTGCCAAGATCTATAGTGATTCCTTTGGTAAGTGGAATAAAATCCATTTATTTCCCATTCTGAGTTTTCCCAATTTTTTTTAATGCACTTTGCATTGAAATATTGTCAATTTGTTTAAGGTGGAATAAATGACAAAGAATTTGCAAGAAGACTTTGGGGTGACATTTACTTCAACAGTAAAACGTAAGTCAAAAATAATGTCCTTAAATTAAATCTTAAATCTTAATCTATTTCAATATAGAAATTTATTAGATACATATTCAGTACATTGGAGCAGCACATGTCCATCCCATTTAATAAATTTCCTGTTGATTTTGCAGAAGAAAATTCACAAAGAAACCTCCCTCCAGTTCATCTCAAAGAAGCTTTGTGGAGTTTGTTCTGGAGCCTTTGTACAAGATTTTTGCACAGGTATTACACTATTACTATCATTGTTTCGTACAATTGTACATTATGTGCATTGAAGCTCTTCTCAAGGTTAATAATCTCTGTTTTTGTTGTAGGTTGTTGGAGATGTAGATGAGTGTCTACCCAGACTCTGTGATGAGCTTGGAATTTCACTTACGAAAGAAGAAAGAAAGTTGAACATCCGACCGCTTCTAAGGCTTGTCTGTAATCGCTTCTTTGGAGATTTTGCAGGATTTGTGGACATGTGTGTGAACTTTATCAAATCCCCTGTGGGCAATGCCCAGGCTAAAATAGAGCATATTTACACAGGGCCCTCGGATAGTGACCTGGTGGATAATATGTGTCAGTGTGACCCAGATGTAAGTCTAGTGACCTATTTGTGAAGAACAAAAATAATGGTCAATTCTCTATCAAAAATTACTACACAGCAAGCATTTCTTTTCTGGAGAACAGATTTTAAAGAACAGATTTTTTTTAAATCTAAGATTGCGTTCTCATTTATTTCTGGTATAAAATGCATATTTGATTCAACAAATTAATTGCAGTCCATTAGCTTTCTGTAACTGAATGCTTAATATCTTGAAAAAGGAAAAAATGCATCTAGCATAATACTTGTATGATGGAAGATAATTTATGACAAATTAGTTGATTTCAGATTTAGAATGCATCTGGAAATAGTTTGAATTGCTGCTAATTCCTGTTGTTCTGAATAGGTAGAAGTTATAATAAAATCATTACAATATGAACATTAATTGCAGGGTCCACTGATGATTCATACAACCAAACTCTACCCTACTCAGGACGCGACCAGTTTTCATGTGTTGGGTCGGATTATCAGTGGAACTCTCCTTGCTAATCAAGAAGTCCGGATCCTTGGAGAAAATTACTCACTACAGGATGAAGAGGATTCCAGATTTGGACAAGTGGGACGACTCTGGGTTTCTGAGGCTAGGTATTATTTCTTGAATAGCATGTGAAATTGACACTGAATTGAATGTAAGTTCTAGCACATAAATACAGTGTTTTCTTGTACATTCTTAATACAAGAACTGTACTAGAATTGTTTAAATTTTCTCTCAAAGTGATTATGAAATTAAACCTTAACTTTCTTTGTTTCAGATACAAAGTGGAGGTCAACCGAGTGCCAGCTGGGAACTGGATTCTCATAGAAGGCATTGACCAACCCATTGTCAAGACATCAACAATAACCGATGTCTCTAATTCTGATGAGGTGATTATCTTAATTTTATTTTTCTTGTAATTCAATCATAAAAAATAATGAAGGAGATCAATAGAAAGATGCCTATTTTGACTGTGAAAAATAGGGGTAGAGATATACCTGTCCTTTTTCTCTCTGTAGGTGTATATATTTCGGCCATTGAAGTTCAATACAAGTTCTGTCATCAAGATTGCGGTGGAACCAGTTAATCCTTCAGAACTTCCCAAAATGTTGGATGGATTACGTAAAGTCAACAAGAGTTACCCTCTCCTTACCACTAAGGTATACATGCAGATATGAATAGGGGATTCCCATATTTGAAAGACTTAATGTTTGATGAAGTATTAAAGACTACTCAGTTTAATTATGACTTTGTTTGTAGGTAGAGGAGTCTGGGGAACACATTATCCTGGGGACAGGTGAGCTGTACCTGGACTGTGTGATGCACGATCTGAGGAAGATGTACTCAGAGATAGGTAAGAAATACATAATACAATAGACATTGTCTTCTAGTTATGATACAGTCAGGTATTAGATTACCATTATTTTCTATACTTTATATGTATTTTGATGTTTGTAATTAATTTAAATAAATGCAATATTCTATACAGGAAGGTGTGTGTAATTTATGCTGGTATGTAATCTTGTGGTTTGTAGATATTAAGGTGGCAGATCCAGTGGTGTCCTTCTGTGAGACCGTGGTTGAAACTTCCTCACTCAAGTGTTTTGCAGAGACACCAAACAAAAGGTAAAGGATTAAGTTAAGATAAATTTCCATGTACCAAACATATTTCTCTCCCTTGAGGATTTTATTCAGGAGGCTTTTACATGATAAACAGAAGTACACTGTACAAAAAACTTACATTTAAGGAACTGCTAGGACATAGGATTTTGTTTTATTATAAACCTTAACTCATGAGATCCACTATAATGAAAATCACTCCGCTTTAAGCCTCAATTCATTGTAAACATATTTACTAAAAACATGTTTTACAATTATTACTACAGAAACAAGCTGACAATGATCGCAGAACCCCTGGAGAAGGGTTTGGCTGAGGACATAGAGAATGAAGTGGTACAGATCACCTGGCCTAGGAAACGACTGGGAGAATTCTTCCAGACAAAGTATGACTGGGATCTGTTAGCTGCCAGATCTATCTGGGCCTTTGGTCCAGACGCTACAGGACCAAACATTCTAGTAGATGACACCCTGCCCTCGGAGGTATAATTTTGTTAGCGACTTTGGGATAAAGTTATCACAGTTTGAATTTTTTCTAACATTTAGTATTGTATTCCTTGACAGACGACCAAAATTTGATTGATTTTGGGAGATTTTAGTCAATCAAGAGTTTATTCTGCTCAAAAGATGCTCAATCAAATTAAAATTATTGATGATAGGAAAATTATTGGTTTTGGAAGAGTAGGACATTGTCGCAAAGGTGGTTTACATATCTGCAATTTTGAGATACTATAATATATCTCAGTTTGAAATGATTCATTTAAACTTTGCAAGAGAAAAATGAAGTACAAGCATAAAAAAAATTGTAACTGTAGTAACACATTAAGCCATGGATCTTGGATATCTCTGCAGGGATGATTTTTTACCTGTTCTTGCATATTTTTGACTCACTCATAATGAAGCATTTTGATCTGATCATTTTTAAAATTATGAAAAGGAAGACATGGTATTTCCTCTTTGAAGAAAGATCCTTTAACTAAGAGAGATAATATTATTTTTGTAGGTTGATAAGAGTTTACTTGGAGCTGTCAAAGACAGCATTGTCCAGGGATTTCAGTGGGCGACGAGAGAGGGACCACTCTGTGATGAACGTAAGTAAAATACGACAGGGAGTGTCGCTACAGGTTTTGTTGTTCACTATAAATAGGATTTATCTTCAAAGTTCATTTGTAAAAAATCCTCAGTATTGGCAGTTTAATAGGTAAATATTCATGAAAGTTCTTTATCTTGGACACAGAGATATGATAAAATCAACATGTGTGTTTCTCTGTTGAAAGATAAACTTTTTTCTTAACACAAGACATTCTGTACGTTTCAGCCATTAGGAATGTGAAGTTTAAGATTCTGGATGCTGTGATCGCTCAAGAGCCGCTACATAGAGGTGGTGGTCAGATCATCCCTACAGCCAGACGAGTGGCTTATTCAGCCTTCCTTATGGTCAGTTTATCTTAATTTTCAGACCCAATCTGTTCCTGTTCATCTATACATTGTTTTATACATAAAGAAATACAAATAACAGTACCTAGAAGTTCTGTAGATTCCTAAATATAAACATGGAATTAATTATCACGTAATTTCCTGAGAAGCACCATAGGTGAATTTAAATTTTTTACTTGCACTTATTTTTATGGTGCTGAAATCTATGTAAAATCTCTTGACCAATCCATTCGCGAATTATTATTCTCACGCTTTGATGTTGAAGAGCCCATTTGCAAGAATAAATACTTGCAAAAAATAAGGAATCTACAGTAGTCATTAAAATTTTAACTGATTAAAGCTGCATGTTTCACGGATAATTTTGTTATTTTAATATGTAACACAGGCTACCCCTCGTATGATGGAGCCTTACAACTTTGTAGAAGTCATGGCTCCTGCCGACTGTGTGTCTGCCGTGTACACAGTCCTAGCCAAAAGAAGGTAAAACATTCAAATTCATAATATATCAATGATTTTGCACATTTTTAGCTCTACTGGTCAGAGACCAGAAGAGCTTATGCGATAGTAATGCGTCCGTCGTCCGTCCGTCTGTCTGTCTGTCTTTCCGTCTGTCTGTCTGTAAACAATTTTTCAAAATGCTACTCCTCCTACAGTTTTAGTCTGATTTCAATATAACTTGGCACACAAGTAGACTACACTAAGATACATAATTCTGTGTATCGGTTTTTGATTTTGATGAACGGTGTTGCCGTAGTTAATTAAAATAGAAATTTCTGTGAAATTCTTTCAAAATGCTACTCCTCCTACAGTTTTGGTCTGATTTCAATATAACTTGGCATACAAGTAGACTACACTAAGATACACAATTCTGTGTATGGGTTTTTGATTTCGATGAACGGTATTGCCGTGGTTACTAAAAATAGAAATTTCTGTGAAATTCTTTCAAAATGCTACTCCTTCTACAGTATTAGTCTGATTTCAATATAACTTGGCACACAAGTAGACTACAATAAGATACATAATTCTGTGTATCGGTTTTTGATTTCGATGAACGGTGTTGCCGTGGTTACTAAAAATAGAAATTTCTGTGAAATTCTTTCAAAATGCTACTCCTTCTACAGTTTTAGTCTGATTTCAATGTAACTTGGCACACAAGTAGACTACAATAAGATACATAATTCTGTGTATCGGTTTTTGATTTTGATGAACGGTGTTGCCGTGGTTACTTAAAATAGAAATTTCTGTGAAATTCTTTCAAAATGCTACTCCTCCTACAGTTTTAGTCTGATTTCAATATAACTTGGCATACAAGTAGACTACACTAAGATACACAATTCTGTATATGGGTTTTTGATTTCGATGAACGGTATTGCCGTGGTTACTAAAAATAGACATTTCTGTGAAATTCTTTCAAAATGCTACTCCTTCTACAGTTTTAGTCTGATTCAATGTAACTTGGCACACAAGTAGACTACAATAAGATACATAATTCTGTGTATCGGTTTTTGATTTCGATGAACGGTGTTGCCGTGGTTACTAAAAATAGACATTTCTGTGAAATTCTTTCAAAATGCTACTCCAAATACAATTTTAGTCTGATTATAATATCAAAGTACTCAGAAGTACAGAGAGTCGGGCTCATTTACAGAGTAGAATTGATTTCTTACATGAATCACGTTTATATTCTGGTGAATTTTTTTTTTTTAAAACTATCAATATAAATGATAAGACATTGACAGTGAGTTTTTCAATCCTAATACCACAGTCCGATTTTGTCAGAATCAGAATTAATCTGGTACTGCAGCTGAATGTAAACAAACATGCAGGCCAGTCTGGTTCCCTCTCCTGCTTTACCTCGTATGTGTAGAAAACTACGGTAACACTAATTATCAAAAATCACTATGTTCTTTGACTTATGAAGTTTTCAAAGTCATTAATACTAATGTTTATTTTATATAAATAAAACTTCGTTTTATTTTTGTTGCTTTATTGAGCGTTTGTATTATCTCAAAAGCGGTTGAGAGTAAGAACTATATTTTTGCACGTAACTTTAAAATTGCGACTATGGGGTCAACATCCTGCCTTGAACAGGATCACATAAGCCGGCAATTGCTCTTTGAGCAATAAGCCCGGCTAATAAATGTGGCATGCAAGTAGACTGCACTAAGAACATAATGAGACTTAGTCAAGGATCATTATTCTATTTATTGCTGTTGAAAAGTTTCAATTTCCAACTGCTTAAGTACTTTTCTCTTCCTTTGCTCTAAGTACAAACCAGTAGAGCTTCAGTCTCGACAGAGACTTCTGGTTTTTACATATAACATTTACATTTTCTGTAAAAAGATGTATTTCTCATCAGATAACACCAGAGTAATCTCGACTCTTTTTCCAGAGGTCACGTTACCCAGGATGCACCTGTTCCAGGCTCCCCGCTGTACACAATCAAGGCCTTTATTCCGGCCATCGACTCGTTTGGATTCGAGACAGATCTGAGAACTCACACTCAGGGTCAGGCCTTCTGTCTGTCTGTGTTTCATCACTGGCAGATCGTCCCTGGAGATCCTCTGGATAAGAGCATTCTGATTCGACCTCTAGAGGCTCAGCCCGCCACACATTTAGCCAGGGAATTCATGATCAAGTCACGAAGAAGAAAGGTATGTCTCATTTGGATTAACTTCAGTGCTATTATTCTAAAGGTCAAGATTTTTTGAGTGCTTATTATCATTTTACAAACAGCGTGACAGTTTGCTTGATGGGGCGTGCTAAAATTTTGTGTGCTGGTTATCATTTTACTCATCGATTGGATCAATGAAATCAATACTGATTTACATATGAAACTCGGAATACAACAATACCCCGATAATACTGGCCAATCACATTGAATGATTGTTTACCTGTATGATATTTGTATTCAGCAACAACACGTGGTCAGTCAAAGCCCGTTTTCTGTCTTCAAAAAGCATGTATTATATTTCGTTTGATTTGACCGGGTGGGTTAAAAATACATATAAGAATTTAAAGAATGGAATTAGTAAGACTACTCTGCTGCTGCTATACTATGTAGCTATCAATATCATCATTATAGGAAGTAAAACTTTTTGTCCGTTCATATGTAATTGTTTATTCAATGCGATTGGTCGGTATTGTTATTGGTATTGCTGGGTTCTGTCTTTCATATGCTAAATATTATGATTCCATTGAAATCGAGCATCCAATCGATGAGTAAAATGATAATCAGCATACAAAATTTTAGCACACCCTATCAAGCAAACTGTCACGCTGTTAGTAAAACGATAATAAAACTATCCTAGGGGTTATTTTACTGGATTGAAATAAAATCAGCAAAAAATAGTGGTGTAATGTATGTTGTTTGTGTTATAATATTTATTGTGATACAGTATGGTACTGGGGCCCGTTTTACAAAAGAACTTACGACTAAGACCAAAAACTTCAGATGATAGTAAAATTTTGCAAAATTGGTATTTCTCATCAAAATTATTTGCCTAAAAACATCTTACCACATTTCTTTTAAAAAGATTAAAATAATTTTGATATAATGTTTATTAAAAAGTTATATGAAGAATGTAAATTTGGTTGTAAGTCGTAAGTCCTGTATTTCAATGCTTATTAAAATCAAATAAAATGTCTGCATTCCACTGATCAGTAGACGTTTTGTCATCTTATCTGCTTAATGAATCTGTAATTCCATCTCAAAATAACTTTCCCTACATGTTTAGACTTAAATGTTAGATTTTATGTGGCAGGATATTAGCTATGAAGTTAAATTTTCACGTTTATGAACCTATTGTAGGGCCTGAGTGAAGATGTCAGCATCAACAAGTTCTTTGATGACCCTATGTTGTTGGAGTTAGCAAAACAAGATGTGATGCAGAGTTACCCAATGTAGACTCAGACTGTGTGTTTTTAACATCATCACAAAGACATTATGTAATATTCATTGTAAACTATCATTTCATGACCATGATTATGAATAATAAATTTTATTTGACAGATATTTTGAATTATTTATTTAAAAGGTTTAGATTCTCAGAGAAAATTCATTGTCTCTGAAACAAATGGCTCCTCTGCTCATTTGATGGATTTTCATGAAATATTTCTGTTCAAAGTTCCTTAAAGGTTTGAAAAATTTCCACACGTACAAAACTCTGCTTAATGCAGTAGAATGCAATACAATTTTCTCAAAGTTCCAAACAAGAAGTCTGTGAGCCAGTGCTCACTAGTTATACCCTGCTCTGATCCACATCATGTTAATATACACAATTCAGTGATGGGCAGATGCATGGATAAATAAGAAGTTGATATCAGATTCATATAAAGAAAAGATAAATCCCACCATATAGCATGCCTCAACAAAGTATCTGTGAAAATTTCAAGCATCTGTAATGAGAAAACAGGGACAAAAATTATGGTTATGTATGGTCCGGACAGACAATAGATGGAAAGGAAGTTGAAATCAGAAGTAAACAAAAATGTATCCCACCATATGTACAAGAAGAGTACTAAAAGAAGATGGGGGGATAAGGCGGGCAGATCACATTTGATATGTAAATTGAGTATTTAAATTTACGTCTCATAATTGAAATTTATGAAATTATGAGAAAAAATTTCTGAGAGAAAATATTTTTTTTTTTTTATTTCATATATAAAAAAATATTAGATGGTATACGTGGGATCCGAACCCCAGCAATAAAATACCGAAGTACCATACTGCTTTTAGTGTCTATAGGATCCTTAATTTATTATTGACAAAATGCTATTCTTCACACAATAATAAGTTATGAATCAATAATGCAGTTCATGACACCTTAATTATACATTTTTCTGTAATGAAAGCTTCAGCCTTTTTCGAACCTCTCAAAATCGATTTTGTGTACAATAAAGCATAGATACAGATGGAGAAAAATAATTTAAGACCACCGAAAATAAATTGGTTTCCAGATCGAACATTTACAAAAGAAACTAATGCAGTGCCTATCTTAGTTTTGGACATGCTTGCTTGTGTGGGTATCTATTGTCACTTTATTTTTTCTTCTGCGTTTTTCAATTTTGACTGACTATTTCCCCCATGGGATTTCTCTTCGTTACACAACATTTAACTAAGTGTGACGGGGAGAAATCTCTTGGGTCCCGAAAATGGTATTTTATAAATTGCTTTTCAAGTATTGAGTATTCTACTCTTTTATAAGTTAATGATTTATAAACGATGTAGGACTTCTAGTTACATGAATAACTAATGTTTGATTCTTAACATAAGTGAGATCGTTTCGGAATTTATTGCAGTAATGTAGTATTCATATTATTAAACAAATTTATGTTTTAAACTAGACATCATGGCATTCTCAATTTTGAAAGAGGCACCATTGCTAATCATAACTATACACTTAGCATGTTTAGTTTGGTTACTTAATACCCAAAGATGTAGAGTAGGGGAACAAAAAAATGCATTTCAACTAATCAGTAATATTCAGCAATAATCAGTAGTGCCGCTACCACACATGAACCCTGACCCTTGGTCCACAAATTTCACAATTTTGGAAAAGGCACCCTTGCTTATCAAAATTGTTTGATTAATACCAAGGAGCAGATTTCAAACAATTAATTCATTTTCAGTATATAAGTAGACCCCCTCTATGGTACCCCTGACCCAGGGGCCATAAAATTCACAATTCAGGAAGAATGGCCCTTGCTCACCATAGCTATATATTAGGTAGTTCATCTGCTAAATACCCAGGAGCAAAGAAGAAAATTTTCAAAGATTTAATGTATTTTCACCATATAATCAAGAGAGCCCCGCCCTAACACCAGAACCCCTGATCCTGGAGCCATTAAATTCACAATTTTGGAAGAGGCATTCTTCCTCATCATAACTATATACTTAGTTAGTTTGTTTAATACCCAGGAGCAGAGAAGAAGATTTTTCAAAGATTTAATGTATTTTCACTATATAATCAATAGATCCCCACCCTACGACCAGAACCCCTGACCCTGGGGCCATAAAATTCACAATTTGGGAAGAGGCATTCTTCCCCATCATAACTATGTACTTACTTGGTTTATTTAATACCCAGGAGCAGAGAGGAAGATTATCAAAGAATTAATGTATTTTCATTATATATAATCAATAGAGCCCCGTCCTAACACCAGAACCCCTGACACTGGGGCCATAAAATTCACAATTTTGGAAGAGGCATTCTTCCGCATCATAACTATGTACTTAGTTAGTTTATTTAATACCTAGGAGTAGAGAAGAAGATTTTTAAAGAGATAATGCATTTCACGATATAATCAATAGAGTCCCGCCCTAGCACTAGAAACCCTGACCCTGGGGCCATGAATTTCACAATTTTGGTAGAGGACTCAAAGGTCATTACATTCATGCTAACAGCTTGCCTGCTTGATGTCCAGGAGTAAAGAAGAAGATTTTTAAAGATTGCATTAATTTTAGTGGTTTTGGCCCCACCCCTCAGGCCCCAGGGGGGCAGGGACCATGAAATTCCCAATTTTTTTTTCCTTTATCCATAGATGCTTTATGCCAAAATTGGTGGAAAATGGTTGAGTGGTTGCAGAGAAGAAGCTAAAAATGTTCAAAAGTTTACAACCGATTGACGACGAACGACGGATGACGACGGACAAAAACAGATAGCAATAGGTCACCTGAGTGACTCAGGTGACCTAAAAAAGTGTTAAATCTTCTTGTCATGTAAAGTTTTTAAAAATATATTCTGATTCTGCTTCATAGAAATGTTAAAACAGGTCGGCCAATAAAGAAGCACAATTAGTGCCCATCGAAATTCCAAGTTTTGAAGGAAGACCTGGTCTCTGAAGACTGCAAACACGGTGTTGATAAGGAACTCCAGCTTCCTTTTAATATCAACTTCAAGATACTTGTAGGTAGAATCAGGGTGATTTTTAACAAAGTGATTTTCGTTGATAACAAGAGACGAACATTTCCGAGTTCCATTTTTATTGAGAAAACAGTAGTCTATGATATAAAAATGTATATTCCTGAATTTGTCGCGAGGAATGCTTGTTTAGTGTACAAAAGCTGTACGTTTCGATGTTACTGACTTTGGGGGAAAATGATTTCAAATAAAAGAAGGGGGGGCTGAAACAATTTCACTTTGTTCAATTAATGCCTATATATTGTCTGTCTTTGCAAAAAAGTGGGGGGAGGGGTCTAAGCATTCCTAGCCCCCCCCCTTTCCGACGTCTATAGATTAAATCACAGTTGTAAATATGTGTTTTTATGCTGTTGAATTTAGAACCGGTTTAGAACCGGTTTCATGATCAAAATCCCACGACCCGGCTCAGTTTTCAACGGATTAGGGTCTAAGTTCAACACCTTCGGTCTCAGAAATGACCCCGGGTCAAAATTCAACGTTACACAATCATTTCATAAACATCATCAAAATTTCAAAAATCCTTAGAAGTTTATGTCATCTGATTGATTTTTTAGATAATGTTTGAGGAGGGTTTTTGGCATTTAAACTGACTTTTAGTTACATGTATGGCAAATGATAAATCTAATTATTTCTAAGGATTCGCCACAAAGGAAAGTCGTGCTTAATGTAGCAGACATTTACAGAACATTATACATGTGGTCCCTCCCACAGTCCTACTGCATAATGAAATTTTAAAAAGTTCAAATACTTAATTCCAAAAAGCTTATTTGGAAATGTATGTCCCCTTCTTAGAGAAAAATAATTTAAGACCATCGAAAATAAATTGGTTTCCAGATCGAACATTTACAAAAGAAACTAATGCTGTGCCTATCTTAGTTTTGGACACGCTTGCTTGTGTGGGTATCTATTGTCACTTTATTTTTTCTTCTGCGTTTTTCAATTTTGACTGACTATTTCCCCCATGGGATTTCTCTTCGTTACCCAGCATTTAACTAAGTGTGACGGGGATCTCTTGGGTCCAAAATGGTATTTTTAATATATTCGATTGCATACTATTAGTGCAAGATATAATTACTGTATTCAAACTCACACAAATTGTTCCGACGAAAATAGTTCCATCATTAATAAGTAGATACAACATAATTGTTCATGATAAGAATAATGTTGTGTATGTCATACTTAAAGGAAACCAAAATTAATGTTAATTTTTCCTCCAAAGATCACTTTCCCCCCTAAATGCAAATAAAAAATGTTAATATTCCTACGCTCGCTCCCTCCTCAGCTTTTTTTATTAACATGTTTGATAACAGAGAATATATAGGTCATTCTTCGGTTGATATTTTTTTCACTGATGAATTGATAATACTAATATCAACAACTGTAGTAAAATCATGTTAATTGTTCGTTAATTATCATATAGTTTCATCTAAGAGAAAAAAATAATCATTCTGTGTGTGTAGTATATTAAATGACGGAATTTTCAATCCCTTAGATTCCTGCACGTGTGTAGACAAACTACACATCGGGAGAGTATCTGTAAAATGTGTAACAAAACGCGAACTGGCCGGGGATTTCTAAACTGACAGTGGTTTAATTTTTATGAATCAAAATTTGTATTAATGTGATCTAATTATTAAAAAAGTTCTGTCTGCCATCGTAACTTCTCTGTTTGCGGGAATCCGTTTGACAACGCACGTGTGTATAGCTGCATGGCTAACTGGTCTTGCGGACATAGGTATGTGTACTGTTTGTTAGCATGGTTAGGAGACTTAATGCTAGGGACTTACGAAATTTACACAAGTTCTATAACTAGACAGTGCAGTTTTAATTAAACACTGTTAAGCATATTAAATCTAAAAGTCGAATATCTTTGGATATGGGGTAACCCATATCTATTCTTGTATAAATTGCTTTTCAAGTATTGAGTATTCTACTCTTTTATAAGTTAATGATTTATAAACGATGTAGGACTTCTAGTTACATGAATAACTAATGTTTATTTTAACATAAGTGAGATATTTAATGGAATAATGCATATTAAAACAAATTTATGTTTTAAACTAGACATCATGGATTTTTTTGAAAGAGGCACCATTGCTACATATTACACTTAGCAATTTGGTTATAATACCCAAAGATGTTGCATTTCAACTAATCAGTTATTCAGCAATAATCAGTAGTGCCGCTACCACACATGAACCCCTGACCATTGGTCCACAAATTTCACAATTTTGGAAAAAGCAAGTTTCAATTAATTCATTTTCAGTATATAAGTAGATTTGGTACACCTGACCCAGGGGCCATAAAATTCACAATTCAGGAAGAATGGCCCTTGCTCACCATAGCTATATATTAGGTAGTTCATCTGCTAAATACCCAGGAGCAGAGAAGAAAATTTTCAAAGATTTAATATTTTCACCATATAATCCAAAAAATTTAAATTCACAATTTTGGAAGAGTTCTTCCTCAATATTATACTTAGTTAGTTTGTTTAATACCCAAAATGAAGATTTTTCAAAGATTTAATGTATTTTCACTATATAATCCCCCCCCCCTACACACACACACAAAAACATTCTAATATATGTACTTACTTGGTTTATTTAATACCCAGGAGCAGAGAGGAAGATTATCAAAAATTAATGTATTTTCATTATATATAATCAATAGAGCTTATATATATTTTGGAAGAGGCATTCTTCAAACATAACTATGTACTTAGTTAATTTAATACCTAGGAGTAGAGAAGAAGATTTTCACAGAGATAATGCATTTCACGATATAATCAATAGAGTCCCGCCCTAGCACTAGAAACCCTGACCCTGGGGCCATGAATTTCACTTTTGCTAGAGGACTCAATGGTCATTACATTCATGCTAACAGCTTGCCTGCTTGATGTCCAGGAGTAAAGAAGAAGATTTTTAAAGATTGCATTAATTTTAGTGGTTTTGGCCCCATAATGAAATTCCCAATTTTTTTTTTCCTTTATCCATAGATGCTTTATGCCAAAATTGGTGGAAAATGGTTGAGTGGTTGCAGAGAAGAAGCTAAAAATGTTCAAAAGTTTACGACCGATTGACGACGAACGATGTACGACGGATGACGACGGACAAAAACAGATAGCAATAGGTCACCTGAGTGACTCAGGTGACCTAAAAAAGTGTTAAATCTTCTTGTCATGTAAAGTTTTTAAAAATATATTCTGATTCTGCTTCATAGAAATGTGAAAACAGGTCGGCCAATAAAGAAGCACAATTAGTGCCCATCGAAATTCCAAGTTTTGAAGGAAGGCCTGGTCTCTGAAGACTGCAAAAATACGGTTTCGATAAGGAACTCCAGCTTCCATTAATATCAACTTCAAGATACTTTAAGGTAGATTCAGGGTGATTTTTAACAAAGTGATTTTCGTTAATGGCTTATAAAAAGATACGAACATTTCCGAGTTCCATTTTTAAGAAAACAGTAGTCTATGATATAAAAATGTATATTCCTGAATTTGTCGCGAGGAATGCTTGTTTAGTGTACAAAAGCTGTACGTTTCGATGTTACTGACTTTGGGGGAAAATGATTTCAAATAAAAGAAGGGGGGCTAAAACAATTTCACTTTGTTCAATTAATGCCTATATATTGTCTGTCTTTGCAAAAAAGTGGGGGGAGGGGTCTAAGCATTCCTAGCCCCCCCCCCTTTCCTGACGTCTATAGATTAAATCACAGTTGTAAAACCCAAGTCATAAATATGTGTTTTTATGCTGTTGAATTTAGAACCGGTTTAGAACCGGTTTCATGATCAAAATCCCACGACCCTGCTCAGTTTTCAACAGATTAGGGTCTAAGTTCAACAGAAATGACCCCGGGTCAAAATTCAACGTTACACAATAATTTCATAAACATCATAAAAATTTCAAAATTTAAAATCCTTAGAAGTAATAGTTTATGTCATCTGATTAATTTTTTAAATAATGTTTGAGGAGAGTTTTTGGCATTTAAACTGACCTTTAGTTGTGACAAATGATAAATCTAATATTCCCAAGGATTTGCTAAAAAGGGAAGTCGTGCTTAATGTAGCAGACATTTACAGAACATTATAGTCCCTTCCACAGTCCTACTGCATAATGAAATTTTAAAAAGTTCAAATACTTAATTCCAAAAAGCTTATTTAGAAATGTATGTCCCCTTCCAGTCGCGTAGCCAGGCGTACGTTTGTACGCACAAACGTCCACATCATTTTCCAAAAAAAAAAAAAGAAAGAAAGAAAGAAAAGAGGAAAGAAAAGAATGAAAGCGGAGAAGAGAGCGAGACAGGCGTAATATTGTATAGCGTACTCATCATCTTTGCAAAATGTTAGTAATTCATTTCCAAAAAAAAAAAAAAAATTTAGAAACAATTTAGAATTTACGATAAAAAAATAAATGAATGGCAACAGAATCAGTATTAAGGGAAATATGATAGTATACACCTCACTAAAAATTTTCCCGGATTTTGGTTTACTATTGAATATACCTGAATTTTTTTTCCAAATGTAATTACATTCTTAAAAAGTTTCTCTACTGTAGATTTCCCTTAAAACAAACGATATTTTTATCTAATGGAATAATGCCAAAAAATTTAATTTCCGTTACTGGAAATTAACTTCCAACCAAAATGCTTAACTTCTGCAACGATACCCCCCCCCCCCCCCCACACACACACAAAAACCTAATATCGGATTCATGCGAGACTTAAAAAATCAAAATTCAGCTTATATATATGAACATCCAAACATCAAAAAATTGGGAAAAACCAAACACCCAATAACCGTAACTCTACCTTAAAACCAATAGTATATTTTACATGTATGTTTTTATAATTGTTGCAAAAAGTTTAAGATATCAGATATGTGAATATTTATGAACATTCATTTTAAAATGTATACAATGTACATAGAAAATGTGCAAGAAATTGAGTTGCAAAGAATTCTTCATTTGTTATTTTCAATCTTTAGAGACGTATTTTTAATATAAATGTAAGCATGACTATCAGTCAATTATACGTGGTCTGTATAAACCAGTCAACCACTCTAACCGTCTACCGTATGTATACGGTAAAGTTTGCCGACAAAAAGCTATATCTAGCGTATAGGTCACAATCAAGGTCATAAGGTCATTGACCATGGTGTCCTTTAAAAGAGCTTTATTAGTGGAGTATGCATACCAAATATGAAGTCTCTATTTTTTATGGTTCAAAAGATAAGGCGAAGATTAAAGTTTGCAGAAAAAAATATTTTTAGCATATAGGTCACAGTCAAGGTCATCACAAGGTCATTGAACTTGGTGTCATTTGAAAGAACTTAATAAGTGGAGTATGCGTACCAAATATGAACTCTCAACCATTCATGGTTCAAAAGTTATGGCGAGGGTTAAAGTTTCAGTTTTTGACTCGATGATAAATTGTATTTGCTGGCAAGGTCATTGTATCGACCATAGAACTTACTATCATATCATAGAGCTTGGTTGTTAGATTACCATTAACTTCTTTTTTCAAGTAAAATATTCAAATATGAAACAGATGTGTCAGACCCTGTGGTATCTTTTATCTCAAGCTCATCAGGATATATCGCATCGACATAAGAATGGAAATTATCATCGTTAATTGACAATACGTCGTCGATTTATCCAAATATCGAGTTGAAAGCTACAGCAAGTGTTTTCTTCTTTTCACGCTTAAGATTTTGACCAATTCTGCTTCATATGAATACAAAACTAGGTCTGCTAATAACGGGGCGTAATTGGTACCCATGGGCATTCCAATAGATTGTTGGAAGACCTGGTCTCCAAAAGCAACATAGATATTGTCAATCAGAAACTCAAGCATTTTTTAATGTCAACTCCAGAGTTCTTATGAGTACAATCAGAATGTTTTTTAACAAAATAATTTTGCAAATGACCAATGACAAGGTATGTAAATTTACGAATTCCATTGAAAAAGCAGCTGTCAGTGGTATCAAAAAGCCTGGACTTTTGAGGAATGGTTGTGCATAACGTTGAAAAGTCATAAGTTTTTAAGCTGTTGATTTTGGTAAAATCTTGTGATTTCAAATTTTCCAAAACTTCCTTGGAATATTTAAGTATCCATATCTGATTTACAGCAATTCTTGAATATGTTGTTGAACAGTACTCTTGAAGTTTCTCTTTCACTAAGTGATACTAATATCTTAGTGAGGAGTAGAACTCAGGCATTGTGAAATCGTTTTTATTCACAAAACACATGAAAACAATCAAAGGAAAATTGTACAAAGTCATTGTCATGGAAAATGATATTCATCAGTGTCTTAGGGACATCCCTAAAGATGAGTATGCTGATGTTTTCTGTTCATGGATACAAAGACATAAGGCGTGAGTATAAGGTAAAAGGCAATGCCTTGAGGGGTTGAAACTATTAAGATTATGTATTACGTACTTTTCTTATTTTTAGATTATTATTTTTCACGACCCTCCTACGCTATGTGTCATCCATTCATCAAATACCCGAGTCCACCAGTGACCGTAGATTTCATACCCACGGGTAGACTCAGGACTAGCGTAGTGAGGGTGAGCTGAAGTCTCTCCAGGTGTTTTATGTTTGAACCTTAAGTTTTAAAGTGAGCTTCTCCTTCTGAATTGATGCCTTGGCTTATTGAAGGTCTCGTTTTTTTCTGGACTGACTTTGGACCTCTTTTTTGTCTGTTTGTAGGTGTCTGATTTGTTGTTCGGAACTTTTGATTTCTGTTTAAAATTAATTTCTTTTAGTTTCTTTTGTTTTAGATTAAAGTTTCTTAATTCCTTGTCTTCATTTAAATCTGTTAAGGTGACGACTGTCTGTTTTTCTGACGTTTGACAAAGTGTATCCTTCTCGCTCTCTGCCTCATCCAGGGTCACGGTGTCTATATCCATAAATACAGCTTTCACTTCTTCAGAAGGATTAGTCTCCAAGCACAAAGACACCAGTCGATACATGTACATCATTATTATCATCGAGTTCTTGAAAAGAAAAAATATAATTGAGTCATCAACAATTCCCAAAGCTCCAACAGCATATGAACGGCACACCAAGAACGGCAACTCTTGCATCATGATTGAGGCTAAAATGCTCCAGATTTCTGTTTTGAGGCATACATTCAGTGTTTTCACTATAACTTGCATGTAGCGTTTGTCCCGGTGAATACTAATGACGAAATTCTCGTCCCTGTATTCCGTAAAGGAGATTGGGAACTGGAAAACACTAATACTCCACACTACTAGGACCACAAACGTAAAACTTCTGTCCTCGACCACAGCTTTATGTGAGAACAACGTGAAAAAGTCCGTCATGTCACAAGCTTTACCAATCAATACCAGCAGCAAGTTGGACAGCTTGTCACGTGACATTTGACCTTTCGGAAGCGTCCATCTTCCGATGATCATGACGAGTAGGAAGCTCTGCTCGATGGCGAAGACGAAGACGTCATTATCCAAGTTTAAGAAGTCGTCATAAAAAGCCTGAAAAAATGTGTATAAAGAATATACTAAAGAGTACATCGAAAAATCATCAAGAATGTCATGACCCCCAACCCACTCCTCTTGCCTAAAAATAAAAGAAAGGAAAAAAGACATGGGACAAATAAGTAATAAAAAACAAAAGAAACCCCATGTAGAATATGGTTTTTGTGTTAAGAAAAATCATGAACCATTTTGTAAACACTTATAGCTATCCTGTACCGACGTAAATCACGTATAGTTTGCAATACCAATCTTCACCGAGAAAACAAAATAAACGTTTACTTTTAATTTTTGAATCTTGCATTACTTTAATTTCGTGAATGTTCCGCTGTCCAATTCCGACGATTGGTAAAATGTGCTATTTAAGGACCCTCTACGCGCTGTACACTGAAGAGTTCTAGATCTACTTTCATGCTACATTTATCCAGTTAAAGCGATATACCCCTTGAGTATAAATTTAAACAATAAAATGCTTTCTTTGTTTGTTATTACTGGAATTAACGGAAGCAGCTGTTGCAGAAAAAATACATACATTTACATACTAATGTAAATTTTTTGTGCACCTCCTATTTTACTTTTTGATACGACACATATTAATTTGTTTCCCGGCCACAGGAATAACAAACAAAGAAATATGGGAGGCATTTTATTGTTTATATTTATATCTGTTTAAATAATCATTTAAAGTAGGATTAAAAAGATTAATTATTGTATTAATCTTGTAAACATTCCGCTTTATACAATTTCAAATGTGCTATTTAAGCAACTGCATTGCACACTGAAGAGTTCTAGATCTGTACAGGCTTTCATGCCTACATAGTTATGCAGTGATTAACAGAAGATATTCAGTGGATATAAATATTATACAGTAAAGCACATAGTGTATAATCTTTTCTATCATTTTTGATATTATATTGGATCAAAGTGATGTCATTGAATGCTTTATTTCTTTGAAGTTAGCAACAGTGATGAGTGTTAATCAATACGTTGTTCTCTTGGGGAAGAATGACAGTTTCCAGTGCTAAACAATATCACCTTTATGCAATTTCCTGTTTTCTCCAAGTCGATCCGTTGAAAAAGAAGTATTTCTCGGAAAGATGCGAATATTTTGTCATAAAAATGTACTTTCAATGTATAGTGGGTCCTCGCTCCATCTTTCAAAAAATGAAGCAAAAACCAATGTATAGTGGGTCTTCGCTCCATCTTTCAAAAAATGGAGCGAAGACCCACTCATATTGAAAAAGTTTGTTAAAGTATGAGAAAATGATCGTTTTTGTTCTTTTTAGTGTGTGTATGCTTTTCATAGGCAAATATTTTCAGTCTTTGTGAGATTTTTGTGAATTGTATAGATTTTACATTCAGTAAACTTTAATATTAGATGAAATATCAAATAAAATTTGGATATAATTGGATTAAATTTTTCACTTCACATCTGTCGCACTATGTAGGCACTTTGTCCGTCTTATTACCCCATCTTATGTTTTCCAGATTAATTACTAGTATTCACAAAAGAAAGTAATATAGCATTTTTGTGTTTTTGATTTGAATATGCTGGTTTATGTTTGTATCTTTTTCTTTATTTTTATTTTCAATTTTGTCTTTCTATTTCAATCATTGTCGTGACCCATGGGGTTTCGCTTCGTTTCATTCCATTTTGCAAAGTGTGACGGAGAAAAATCCCGTGGGTCCCAACGATGGAATTTTGTAATTTGCTTTCAGTATCCCGTTCTATTATTACTTAATGACTTATAAACAATATATATGCAGTGTTTAAGGATTCTAACTACATGATAACCAATGTTCTATTCTTATCGCGATAACAAAGTGATCTATTAAAGAATTCATGAGTAAATGAACAATTTATGTATTTGATTTTTAAAGCTTTCTTTTTAAGAGCTCTCTAGACACTATAAGACTTTTTGTTAATATTAGAGAGCAACCTTTTTGTTTTTTGTTTGTTTGTTTTTTTTTATATATATTTTCCCCATGAAAGAAAACTTTAAAAACCGCAATAGCGATGACGACTGCAAAATATTAATTTAAAACTTTATTTCAAATTCATTTTTTTAACTTATTATACGTATATGTCATTTTATTTTATCTAAGACCAGAAAACCCTTCTTGCATGAAAATATCGCAGAAATTCGAACTCTTTAGTGGGTACAAAGGGTTCTTAAGATTTGATTGTATAAAGAAAATGGAAAGGGTTAGCAGTATGGATTGGACTTTCCCGTCTACTTGTAGCTCTCCAATTTTCGGAACAAATCTCACAATCTTACATACTGTATGATGCCAGTTGATGCCGGCCGATTGTAAAGGGGGGGGGGGGAGGAGGGTTAAGTCTTATGTTTTCAGATAAATGACTTTTAATTTTTGCACAAGTTCATCATCAACTCTTGACAATTGAAGCATACGTTTATTAGTCTTTAGCCAAAAGTAGGTCGCTGTTAATTTATTTTGGTATTTCATTAATTGCTTAACATATTCAAATCATATACATGTACTGTAGACATCATATCTTTCGAAGTTTTAGGTTCAGAATAATCATAAACTTTTTCAGTTGCTGTTTCTTTAGACAAATTATATATATGTTCCCCTCAACTATTCATTTACGATCCACATTTTTCCTTGCCTGTGCATCGTCGATTCCAAGCCACGGCTCGGAGTCCGCATATAAAGTTCTCTCCTACCGGCCAGAATAGGAGAGGATCGTTACATTTTGGCCATGGTTTGCAGCGATGTTGCTTGTGTGGCTTAGCGCATTATTTCTCCTCAAAACACATTTTGATCGTTTGTTACCGACAATTGCTCGATTTCTGGATGAAGACAACAAACAAAAAATACGGATGCAATGTATTTATAAACGGAATGAACCAAGTGACCAAGCAGACATAAAAACTGCCCCACTTAGACGTGATTCCCAATATAATACCTGTGTTCTGACGGTGACCACTGTTGTGGGTGTCATTGTCGTCGCTGTCGTCGTTGTATTCGTCGTATTCGTTGTTGTCGTACTTGTCCCGTTTGCCGAGGTCTTTGTTGTAGTTCTATCGCTGCTGGTTCTGGATCTTCTGTCTGCCCGATCCAGCTCCATAATCCAGATAGGGACGATATCCAGACAAATGAACAGGAGCGTGCCAAGAGAGACCCTGAAAAAAAACAAACTACATGTAACTTTTAGAGGAGAACGTTTGCGTTTATACCATTGCATTTTTTGAAAAAAGGTATTTGTGATCACAGTAATTCCTTTTCTCACATTCTTTGTGGTAGAGATTTAAAAAAAAAAAGAATCAATCGTACTCACGGGGTTACCACTGTTATTTATTTAATGTTATTTTTTTGAGAGAGAGAGATTTGAAGAAGGAAACAACACTGTTTAAATTAAGACTAGGTCATATATTCAGTTTAGTTTGTATGAAACTTTTTGACCCTTCAGAAGAAATTTCAGTTGAGAAGGGGGGGGCTATATTAGTTGGGTACAAGGGCTGCAAATAAGCACAGATTCTCGATTAGGAAAAGAAACAGTCATCAAACGTTATTATTCGATCAGGGGCACAGGCATAAGTATACCCCCTGCCCCGGTTCTCTTTGGTACTTTAGAATCACTGTGCGGCAGCCACCTGCTAGTATCTTTGAATGTATAACTTAGCACAGCCCTGAACTTACCACTTGTGCTCCATGCCTTTTCTGATGTATGCAGCATGGATACCCTCTAGGATCGCAGGTAAAAATCCTAAGGAATAAATCCAAAATTTTGGTTCATTTAGAATCGTAGATACCCTAGATATGGCTAGAAGGCAATGCAAAAGGAACATCAGGCGAACGCCTATAGCCTTAGCCAATAATAAGTGTCTAGCCTGCAACTTAAATCTGCCGAGTCCCATCCTACATCTAAGGGAAATGTTACTAGTAACGAGCGATTGAACCTTCGTATCCTTACACCCTGATGAGATATCGATTTCACTTAAAGTATTATTATACACCTATTTACTGCTATGATTGAACCTTCTTGGGGAACTCGCTGTTAAATATCCTTTCTTTACATCCTGATGAGATATTGATTTCACTTAAAGGTTATTATGTTATAATATTCCATTAATTAAAACAAATATTTTGGACACACTAAAACTTTTCGAGTAAATAATCGTTTCTCCCATGGAATTTTCTGAAAGGGAAATTAAAATCGAATGTGTCGAGCGACCATACCGGTAGTTAGACCGACAATCTGATTCTATTTAGATCGGATTTACAAGGAAACAATATTAATTACATAAAAAATCCACAAATTAATCCTCAATATGTACTCAATATTCATTTAATATTTTTTAACTGCAACCGAGGCAGTGGAAGTATTTTGATTATTGAATATATAAACAAATTTGTATATAACAATGTTTATTAGGATCAGATGAAATTAAGCATTCTATACACCCGCAGTTAACACTATGAAATGATCGGTCCAGAGGTATAGGATCAGATGACTAGGGGGAGTAAGCATAATATTCAGAATATTAATTTAATATAAAAACAAAGACCTAACAATTGGTATGAAATAGATCAGCCAAAATACGACCCGATGATATGTTATATTTACTAACAAAGTCATTATAACGACTATAATAATTAAAATCGAGAAAGTGTCGTCTCGTTGCGACTCATAGAGAGGTAGTTAGATTCCAGCTGAAAATCTATGTGATTTTTTTTGGACACACTCGGACTGTTACTAGCGTGAAAATCCGATATTAATTACGCTAAAAAATTCTCTAAATTCGCTTGTATGAACATGTAATTCTATATAATGAAAGGGTTTTTAATTTCGCAACCGCCACAGTGGATCTTAGCGCCTTTCCCTTGAATGTATTGAATAGGTATATGGTTGATTTTTTTTTTAATTTTCCTGTTAATCACGACTAAGTGTAATTACTTTGAAATTACACTTTCATGAAAAAAGTGGTGTGTTTATGAAAAAAAATGCATTTCGACGAGGGTCAAGGAATAAGATTCAGTTATGTTCAAAAAAAAAAAAAAAAATGAAGACAATAAATGGTCTTTTAAAAATAGTTGTCCTTTTTTTTATTTAAATAAAAACAATTGTCCTATTATTTAATTGACACAATTGCATGGGAAATAGATCACGTTTTAACTTACTATATATATATATATTGTATCTTGTAAATTTGATAACTACATGTACGATTTAAGCTATGTTTTATGATGCAAAACAAAAGATAGTAAACTTCATTTGCATATTAATTCTTGTCTATTTCTAATTTGATAAACAACTAAAACCATATAAGAAGACGTGTAAGGAGGCCTCAAATTATAAATTAGGTTGAACAGAATTGATTAACCTATGTCGTGACAATCCAAGTATTCCTTCACATTTCATTGCTCCTTATGTTACAATTGTTAAGCAAACGCTCGGCTGCCTCTGTAAACACTGCGAAATGTCGGAGTTGACAGAGACCTCCGCCATTTTGTAATTTTTGGTTAATATCTCGAGTTTGGATTTATCAATTTAAAAACAAATTATATATTCAGCCTAAATGAAAAGGTTTCCATTCACCATTTTAGTATAATTCAAAAATATTGAAAAACATTTATTTCGACTTTTTAAAGGTCGCCTGCAGTATCAGGAAGTAGAGACGACGTACAAAAAATTGCATAGTACTTATCATTCTATAATCCCTGAAAGTTTTACTGATATCTTGAACCGTTGATTAACCGTACAAAATGTATATTAAAATCGAAAATTGTTAACTTTGCACCAGACAGGAATTTCCAATATATAAAATAACTTCAGATAACAACATTGTTTCTGCAAATTTCATGAAAATACGTAGTCTTAGAAATCGCGTGCACAAAATAGATGTACGGAAAAATAATATTTACTAACAAAGTCATTATAACGACTATAATATTTACAATAATATTAACAAAAATTGGTACCCAAAGTAGTGTCTCCTAACTGGAAATATAGTTGTGAAATATGAAAGCCCTATCACCATCTGTTCCCAACTTATGCCAGGTTAAAAGTTTTTTCATAAGTACAGAATTCTTCAAAATCAAGGTCAGAATGTCAGGATTATTGTTATCCAATAAGAAGTCTTGCCACAAAAATTACATACATGTATGTGAAGTATGGAAGCCCTTGCCCTAACCGTTCAAACGTTTTGGCCAAGGTTAAAATTTTTTAAAAGTAGGTCAAACTCCAAGGTCAAGGTCAAAGGTCTTAATTTTAAATGAAATGTCTTGTCACAAGAATTGAATAAATAAAGTATGAAATCACTAGCTCTGACCTCTAAAAGATATGGTCAAGGTTTGTTTTTTAAAAGTAGGGCAAACTCCAAGGTCAAGGTCAAAGTTCTTGGTATCCAATGAAAGGTCTTCTTACAAGCATTACATATGTGAAGAATGAAAGCTTTCGCCCTTACCGTCCAAAAGTTATTGTCAAGGTTAAAGTTTTTTTTATAAGTACGAAAATATCCAAGGTCAAGGTTGGTGGTATCCAATGAAAGGTCTTGCCACAAAGAATACATATGTGAAGTATAAATGTCCTGGTATCTACTATTCAAAAGACTGTCTGTTTGTCTGCTAAAACTTTAACCTTGCACATAACTTTTGATTTAGTGAAACCATGACTTTCATATTTCAATGTGTATTCCTTGTGGCAAGCCTTTTTTTGGGGTACCACCAAATTTGACTTTTTGACCTTGATCTTGGAATTTGACCCACTTTTACACAAAAATTTCAAACTTTTACGTTGACCATATCTTTTGAACAGTAGATACCAGGACTTTTATACTTCATATATGTATTCTTTGATGAAAGATCTTTAATTGGGTACCAACAACTTTGACCTTTTGACATTGGAGATTTCCGTACTAATGAAAAACTTGAACCTTGGCCATAACTTTTGAACGCTAAGGGCTTAGGCTTTCATACTTCACATTTGTAATCCTTGTGAGAAGACGCTTCATAAGATACCAAGAACTTTGACCCTTTGACCTTGGATTTTGATTTACTGTTAAAATACAACCTTAATAATAATTTTTGAAGGGTTAGGACTAAAGCTTTCATACTTCGAATACTGTAAATGTATTATATTTAGTGTGTACGATATTTAGCGGAAAATGATTTTTAAACAAGTTAGCGTAGATTTGATTTAGCACATTTCTTGATGTTCTTATTCATGTTTCATTGTTTTAGACATTTAGCGATGTACTTGAATTAGCGGAAGTATCTTTCCGCCAAAAGCGCTAAAAAGAATACACCGCCAAATGTAATACGTTTACAGTATTTTATCTTTGTAATAAGACCTTTCATTTGATAGCAAGAACCTTGACCCTTTGACCTTGGAGTTTGACCCATTTTTACACAAAAAATCCAAAATTTTACTTTGGCCCTAATTTTTAAATGGTACATACTATGAATTTCAAATTTCAATTTTTTGTGGCAAGTCTTTTCATTTGAGACTAACTATTTTGACCTTTTGACATTGACCTTGGAGATTTCTTGGAGAAGGCTGCATTTGAGAAAGCTTAACCTTCTTGCACATGTCAATTCAGTACACAAATAAACATACACGTAAATAGCAATTAAATGTAAACAAAGGTAATGGAAGATAACTAGAATGAGCATGTATTTTCCCATCCATGCCAATACCCTTGACAAGATAGCAGTCAAATGTAATGAATGCAAAGGGTAGACCCCAGTGCTGATATCTGAGATAGAAAAACTAAATATGATGGATACCCATTTAATTGTCAGTTTTTAATGTCATGTTTTACATTCTGATATGCTTATTTCCATACAAAGATGTATCAATATGAAGAATATTATATTACAGGTGTACACACTCAAATACAGTGTATATTAAATTCAAATTTATTTTTAACTTGTAAAGCATATCATTTCATGATGAAAATATTAGAAACTTTGGTAAGCAGTTTTGCTGCAATTTATGTTAAAATAATGAAATAACACTGAAAAATATAAAAGTGAGAACTTTATCTACATAAAATTAAGCAAGACCATCTGCTCATGAAAATTTCATTCTCTAGTAAATAAATCCTATACGATCATGACATCAAAATACAAAGATCTTTGTGAAATTTTTGCTTTCTAAATACTGTAGACGTATTTTTTTCCACGGGGTCATAATTCCGCAGAATCTCAATTTCTGTTTAATCCGCAGGTAGAAAATTACGCAGATTCCTCAGACTGTCACTGTATGCATTACATTTATATTAAGTACGCTTAGACAAATTTCCGCGGTAAATTTGTGACCGCGTACATAGTGTAAATTATTACCACGCGGAAAAAAGTACTTCTACAATAAGATATTGCAAAAATTTGATCTACTTTACTCTAAGAGCTGGTTTGAAGGGTGGAATAATTACAATTTAATTTAATCAACTGGCTACAACTCATTTAATGCACTTTGAAAATGTCATCAACTGATCTAAGATGCATTTCTGATATTTAGACCCCTTCCCCCGATGGATGTGACAGTTCCTGAATTACAAGAAATAGTAAATGGTTCTGTTCTGTGGTTAACAAGGGCCATAACTCTATCTGAAGTAATCGCAGAGAGGTCAGATCTGTTGACTGGCATGCCATCTGTAGAAAAAGAAAAAATAAAGCCATCTTTAAAACACAACCACAAAAAGCAACTACAGAAATTAGATTCATATACATCATCACTTCAATTTTTAAAAACCTTTCTGTTTATTTTGTACAAAAATTATGCTCACAACATCAACATGTAGTTCCTTGATATAAGATCAACAAAGTACAGTTGGTTTACAGAATGCTCATTCTATTCACTTTAAATACAATGTTTGAATACAATATTTCCATATGTGATGAATACTTACTACAACAGATTGTAGCATAAGAAATAGGTCTTCTCCAAGATATTGTACTAAAAACAAAAATAAAATTAAACATGAATCAACTTTACAATACTTGGGATGTATATGTACAAGTTAGTGTTCAAAAAATGACAGAGAGTAGGAATGACAAATGATCATCTATCCACAAATACAAGTGTGAGTAATGTTTTTGGTAAAAGTCTATCATCCCTGTCTTAAGTAATCTCCATAACTAATAATATCAGCAAAATACCTGTTGAATTGTCTTCATTGAAATCCCAAGTGTATTTCTCTAAAGTCTGAGCATGTTCAGGTCTTATCCTTTGAGGTGTTGGCTGCAATATAAACACACTATTATGTACAAATTTCTTTGTTATTCCAATAGTAAATTTAAGTACCTCAGTACATTGTACCAACTGATGTTGCACGTTTAAAAAGTAGAGATGCATAAAAAAAGATTAACATGTTTATTGTCAGTACAAAAAAAATTGTATAGATGTACTCCTGTATTATTTTGCTCATGCATAGCTGTGCTACTGAATATTGCACAACAATGCATGGACAAAAGAATACAGGAGTTTTTCATGTAACTGTTATAACTTTCTTAGTGATTTGTTGTTTAGTGTAACAATTGGTTTATTTTGTACATACCTGGAGCATCATCAACAAGAGGACTCGGGATACTTCACAGTGACACAGGAAATCACAGTACGCCCCTACAGGTCTTCCCGTAATGGAGGAGCCTACAAACAAACATACAATCTTCTGTTTTATAATGCACTCATCTTTTTAAAAAGATTGGACACAAAGGAAATCAGATCATCACTTTTTACTTACCTCCCCTTTCCTGGGCTAAATAAGCCATTTCTGTTAGAACACTCAGTGCCCCATCGTAGTCTTCTAAAAATAAAAACACTAATACTTAAATAATTTGTTCACACATCAATATTAGTTTATGATGATTGATTTTAAAGAGAAAGAAAAACTTACTGATAGCAATTTTACATGAAGTTACTTCACTTAATGACTGTAGGCAATCAAGCGGACTCTACAAAACACCAAATGAGGATACTGTATACAGGGAAATGTTCAACTCCATTTTATTTTGCCCCTTTCTCCATACTCATAGGTGGGGAATTAAAAATAGTGCAAATTCAAAGAACACAGTAGAATTTCTTAAAAAGAACTGTGACTGGGCAAATTTAAATAAGGTCAAGTTGCTTGCAAGCACGAAAGGCTAAAAATAATATGGGCAGTATACAGTACATAAATTTCACACATCATTTGTTTCATGAAATTGAAATTCTCTAAAGTTCTTAAACAACATAACGTAATTGCTGATATTCATTCCATAATACAGAATATATCACAAAATCTGAATGCTTCCTATATTTACCTTCTGTCAAATCCTACTCTGTATCAGATAATTTCTGTTTCTCAAAACACTGGAATTTGATAAGATGTATGATTTGAATTCTTTTTACATGTTATAATAATTACATGAGATTGTAGTTCTGCTGCCCTCTGAAAATGAGCCATATTATCCATTTATTTAGAAACTGGAAATAAAAATAATAATAAAAGGAGATAATTGTTCTCGAACAATTAATATTATGTTTATTTCAATTTCATTTAATATTTATCTCCTTAAAAAAATTCCATAAATAAGAAAACAAAATTGTCTTAAATCAGGATAAATTTAAAAAAATGAAAATAAAAAATTGAAATGACCTTGACCTTGACAAAAATCTTCAAGGTCAAAGGTTCATATATTTACAACCTGCAGTCTATGACTTATACTTTTCAAGTTATAAGGTCTTTAGTAAGAACAAAGACGTTAAAGGGGAATAACGTCATATAAGGGGTCATCAAGTTTCGCACTTATACAATGAAGTTAGATCTAATGTCAACATAGCCATGGTCAAGGACGAGTTATGGTTTCCGAGGAGTAGCGATAACAAGGTTTTTTGCACAAGGGGCAATAACTTTTAAAAGGGTCAATTTATTGACGTTCCTTGACAGATTTAAGAGTGCATTTCACAGATATTCATAGATTGTATATGTTTAAGGATATAAGAGCTATTAAAAGAAATCTATACCTCAAATTAACGGAATGACCTTGACCTTTGACCATGAAATGAATTTGAAGGTAATTTTAAAAACATATGCAGTTTGTTTATGTCTCTACGCCTTCTCGTTTTGAAATTTTTTAGTTTTTTATAAAATTTATAAACTTTGCACTTTTATTGAAGGGGTCAAAGAAAACTTTTGCAATGAATAGATTGAAAAGTCTCCTAAATTAGTTGAAGACGTTAACACAAGGTTCGGAATGCTTCTCTATATTTACGGTTTGTCAAAGTAGCGATAACAAGTTTTCGGTGAAAGGGGCAATAACACATAAGGAGATTTGTTAAAACATGGGGGGTCATTTTTTGAATAACTTTAAATATCCAGTTCATGAACTATAAAGTTACATAAGTCTTACGGTGTCAAAACATAAGGTGAGAAATAGAATAATAAAAAACATAAGCATTTCAAGAGGTCTTTCCACAGAAAGGTGGAAAGACCTAACAAATCATTTAAAAAACAAAAATACTAATAAATACTGAGTACCTTTTGAATACAAATATTGTAATGATGAAACAAGTGTGAAGTACTTGTGTCTTCCAAATTTGAAAATTTTGACTTTCACAGATAACTGATAATGACAAGCTCATAGGTGTATAAAATAAAAACAACCTCTGTATGATATATTTCTTACCTTTAATGCATTTCCCAGCTCTATACACAAGGCAGCTGCCAGTGCTGCACTGTTGTTCTCTATATGAACCTGGAAGTACAGCAAGATATTAAGGTAAATATCTGATATCAGCCCTGTATATGTAAAACTTACCAATAAAGTGATAACGACATCATAACCAAATTAATCTTTTTCATTTTGTCAGTTTTAATGAATATTTATCTCACCCTGATAGCATGACTGTAACAATTAATGGCTGCCGTGAGATGTTCATTAAAACTGGCACATTTCAGCTCCTGATTGGCTATCTCTGCCTCTAGAAAGTTACGAGCCGCCTCCGTCAGGGACTGGGATTCTCCGGCAGCATTAACCATAGTGTGCTCACACCTGTGTACAACAAGAGCCTTTAACATGACATGCTGACTAGGGTCTAATGAACTCTACATCTCATCCTCATACGACAGTTTCCATTAGCTAGATTACAGATGCTTTTGAAAGTTTATAATTTTATTTCAAGAATTGATTGATTAGTCACAAATCCATTGGTTTAAATAGATGCAAAACTTTTAGAATGTTAAGTCTCTCAAGGAGATGCAATTTGATGAGTGATTTTTACTTGCATTAAATTATGTTTTCAGGAGAGTTGAACATAGAATACTATTATTAATGCACCAACTTTGACCAAGGTGCCAATTTTTGTTAATGCTGAAAAAATATCACATTTAAACTATTCTGAATTGCTTAATAAAGCTTTATAGCTTATTCAAGCTATAAAGCTAAATCAATAGATTGTGGCAGACCTATAGAAATAATCTATATACAGTAATGTAGTTATAAATATGTTATATAATACCTGGCTTGCGCAAGAGCACAAAAGGCAGCATATTGTTGGCATTCTTGTTCCTTCAATGACTTGGATAAGACAGCTGGAATTAAAATGATATCCATGATTCTCTCTCTCTCTGCATACATAATTAACATTATTTTGAGATGGGTGTACTTTCCAGGCTTCAGGTAAACAATATTCAGGTCCAGTACAATCACTAGATTTAGCTACGTAGGTAGAATTACCTACGTAGCTTTATTTACCTACCTCAGGTAGCTTTATTTAGCTATTTCAAGGTAAGTTTTCAAAAGTTTTCTTTTTATTAAAAAGAGACAAAAAGTCGCAATTAAATGACTATTGATATTTATACTAGGGAGGCTTTAAAAAACAATCCGAAGCAGAGATAGTTTATACATTGCTGCGTTTGGACAATTTAGAGCAAAACATGTAATTCCATTGTTTGGTTATCTGACCGTGCGGTGAGGTGCAGTGAGGCATGACTGAGTATGATTACTTCACATTGTGCTGAATAATTACCGACCTATTATCGTGTTAACCGGAACTGGACTTCTTTGTCATTTCATTCAAGAAGTAACTGTTCTAACTGTCATACATAGCCCTAAAACTTTCAGAACTTTGATTGCAATTGCGCAGAAAAAGACATTTTTCCAAGAGGGATTTTTTCATGAGTTGTTTTCAGATGAGTTCAAAGTTGAAAATGATCACTGCATCAAAACGATATTTTCTGAACACCCTGAGAAAAATGCTTTTTAATAGAAATAGACCAATTTGGTAGCTAAATAAAGCTACCTCAGGTAGGTAAATAAAGCTGTGTAGGTAAATCAAGCTACGTAGCTAAATCTAGTGATTGTACCAGACCTGATATTGTCAGTGATACCTGATACTTACAGTACTGTTCAATTCCTTCAGCAACATTTGGTCTCTTTAGGAAACGCCTAAAAAGATAATGTTTTTAGCAAAATCTGTAAGATAACTTATGAGATTTAACCAATTTCTGAATTTGGAAATCAAACAGTTCGATTTTCCTCTGTTATGGTTTTCATTTGTCGAAGATATTGTCTTATTTTCTTGATTATATATTAATATGCAAGGCCAAGCATATTTGTTGCATGATTGTACTTACTTTTTTAATTTATTTGACACTAATCTGTATTTGCCGAGTATATCTACATCCTTTTCCATTTTCGGATTTTCTACTGCTGTCAAAAGCGGGTGCGTTGATGCCTAGGTAATTCGCACCAAAGTTTGTCGCTCATGCAAAGCGCACAGCGCCTACACTTAAATGAAATGATCCCGAAAGCTTATTCCATTTTAGGCTAAAGATGTAAATTGTGTTTGATTTGGTGACTTTGGATGACACACACAAAATTGTTTTTGGTTGGTTAGTTGGGGGGGGGGGGATAGATTGTCCAAATTCCAGAATCCTTTTTTAGAATTGGGGTTCTAACTTTTATCTCAAATTTTTGAATATACCTTCTCATTTCAATAAACTTCAACAAAGAGCATGGGAGGGGGGACAAGTCTTTAAATGAACATTTTCAGCAGCGAAATAAATTGCTTAGAAAAGTATGTGTGTGCATGTGTGTAGTGAGGCAGAGGGAATCACACCCTTTGCCCCCTTCGATATTATCTGTTGGATTAAACTAAAATTATTCATCCACAAGACCATAAATATTTCATTTTCAAAGCAAGTCTGCATCTATTTAACCATTGAGTTTATTTCTATATACCACTGATCATAAATGACACTTCGGAGATGTCCATCTTTAACTATAAATGTGCGCAAAACTCGCACAAAAAAGTACATTTTTACTTTCTTCAATGGGAGCATGTGTTTATGTACATTTTCACCAGAAGGGGGTTTCTTTGACTTTTGATAACAATGGACAAGGTCAAAAGGAATCTATGTGCTTACCATTTCTGGTTCATAACTTTGTGTTTAATAATTAGAAAAACATTAGTTGCTTCTACTGACCATCAATTATTATTAGTGTAACAAATGTAAACAAATGTCATTTGGACAATTTATCCCTTTCATATCATTACATGTATCAAGGAGAAATAAGAGCCATATAAATTATAAAATTTATTTTTGCTCTTGGATATAAAAAATGCAGAATATTGTATGATCATTTAATATGAGCAATATCTTAACCAGCAAATGTTATGTCTCTTATTAACATAAAACACAATCATATCAATGCCCTACTCCTAACTGGAAATCTGCTGTTTTTTAAATTCTGACCATGGCACTTCTTTGTTATAAAATTTCATTGTTTTATCAAAAGCACCAGACTTGAGCTGTTCTAGTAGATCCCCAGACCTGGGGTCAATGATGGCATTTAATTCCAGTTCCTCCAAGACAGCTTTCCAATTGGACACATCCACAAAGTTGGCAGAAATAGCGACACTTGATGTCAGATTTTCCACGCGATGAGGACATCTTGCCGGTACAAAAAGAACTTCTCCTGGAATTATAAAATATTTATATTAAGAGCAGGAGACACAAAGAATGAATAAAACTTAAAATCTCTCTTGAGTTAAATTCAAACACTGTATTAAAGTGGCAGTCTAAACTAAAACATTTATAGAGGGCTGAAGTTACAAGAAAAATTTTCCCCATGAACAAGTTAACTTAAAAGTTTTGACAAATAAAAAACTTCAAATTAGATAAGAGATGTGAAATAAAACTATCAATTATATCTGTAATGATTAAATTGGGTTCAAATGATTTTCCTGTGTTGTGCAGACAATGTTAAGACTCACCTGCAGACAGGACACATTCTGAGGGATGTGTCAGACTTAACAATGGCTGCTTTTTCAGATCAGGATTTGTAACGTCTGCCTCAAATACAGGGTCCATACCGTTGGGGTACTGAGGGTAAAGGAGGGCCAGATCAGACTGGGGGTAAAATACCCATCTACAAAAAAAGGTCTACAAATTTATTAACCTTTTTAAACAAATAGTATGATAGCTTGGTCTGTCTGTGATAGTTTCATCAAATAAATAGGTTTGCAATTTTCTCAGCAATATATTAGAGATGAGACAGAACAAACCAGTTAAAAAAATCAAAGTCTGCACAGATTCCAAAATCTTTTAGACAAATTACCCACCAAATTATGCATAATGAAAAAGTCAAACAAACTAAAAAGCAAAATTATTTTGATAAAAAAGGACACTAACATTTCTTCAAAAATCTGCATTAATAATCAACATAATTAACTAGTGAGTATAACATGCAATTTACACTGAGTACTGTAATTACCTCTTGGATCCTTGGAACACTGCCATCCAGAAGTTAGATCCGAAGGCATCGACATGGAGCTCACTACAGAGTCCTGCGGGGGCCACAAAGAGACTGGGCCAGCTGTCCCTGTACAGACTCCCCTCAGAGGTCCTCTGTAAAAAGTCACCTGTCCACCAAACAAGTGGGGTGTAGAAATGTACTCAATATGTGAGGAAACATATTCAGTTTATTGAAAGAAAAATTGTCAGTTATTTATATGAATGTGTTTCTAAGAGCGATATAAAATTGACTAAAGGCTTGATCCAATAGGAATCAATGACATTTGTTTCAAGTCCCTTAGAGAAATTTTCACTCATATTAAGATACCACCACTTGACTGTGGAGGACTGCATATTGAGCCCTGCACTTGAGCACTTGGAGCTTTGAGCAGTGAGGGATCTACTTGGTTCAAACACCAATTGCGACACAAAACTCATTTTATTTGGTCTTCTCTGAAGGACCAGTCTCTTTATCACACAGTGGAATTCAAACCTGTGATGTATGGTTTAATTCCCTACTATGTAACTCTAGAGGAAATGCTCTAACCACTTAACAATGCAGGCAAAACAACCAGTGATGCATTTAGGCAAAAAATGAAGTGCACGCTAAAAAATGGCAGGGGTTCTACAATCCTTGGTGGGTCCAGAGAGAGTCATGGTGGGGCAAGTTATATACTGCTATGACAGGTTTTTTTTGTTATTTTTTTTTTTTAAGGAATACCTAAAAAATGTCATTCCTCCTTAAAAACAATTTTCTTTCTTAAAATGCAAATAGCTATGAGTGTATACTTCTGCTTTTTGGTTGTTTGTTCATTTCCTGTTATATTGTAGATGTCTCGGTTATATGACAATGTAATACACGCAACTGGGATTAGAAAAAAGTAAATAGCCAAAAGTAACTAGATATCATTGAGATGGTGGCCATCTCAAAGGGCCCCGCTTTTAGCAATGAACATGAAAATGTAAGATAGCTGAAAAGGGTTTATATATATATAAAGGGGACAAAAAGTATACTCCCCAAAAAATAATACAATATATAACTATATATATATATATATATATAATATATATATATATATAATATGATAAAATCACATATATCTGTATAATTTGTTTGAGGCTGAGTGGACTTAAGGGAAAGAAATTATGCACTGAACAAAGATTTTGAACAGATAGGCTATTTTTGACCTTGACCTAGACACTTTGTTCACAGCACATCCATTAACCACTGGCACTCTGTGAGTTAAGTATGAGACACATTGGACAAAGGCAAGAGAAGACATGCTCCGGACAAGCATTTTTCATGAAATTCTGCCATGACAGAAAGGCTATTTTTGATCTTGACCCTTGACATAGAAACTTTGTTCAAGGTCAATGCACATTCACTGACCACCAGCAATCTGTGAGTGAAGAATGAGCAACATTGGACTGATAGGAGAGAAAATATGCTCCGATCAAGGATTTTTCATAGAATTCTGCTATGACCTTAACCTTTCACCTAGAAGCATGGTTCAAGGTCACTGCACACCCTTTACCCAAAAGCACTCTTTGGGTGAAGTATGAGCCACATTGAACAAAGGGGAGAGAAGATATGCCCCGAACAAGGATTCTTCATGTAATTCTGCTATGACCTTAACCTTTGACCTAGAAAGATGGTTCAAGGTCACTGCACACCCTTTACCCAAAGGCACTCTGTGGGTGAACTATGGGCCATATTAGGCCTAGGAAAGAGAAAATATGCTCCAGACAAGAATTAAAACAGAAAGGCTATTTTTGACCTTGACCCTTGACCTAGAAACTTTGCTCTAGGTCACTGCACATTAATTGACCTCTGGCACTCTGTGAGTGAAGTATGAGTCACATTGGAAAAAGGGGAAAGAAGATATGCTCGGAACATGGATTTTTCATATAATTCTGCTATGACCTTAACCTTTGACCTAGAAAGATGGTTCAAGGTCACTGCTCACCCTTTACCCAAAGGCACTCTGTGGGTGAAGTATGAGCCAGATTGGGCCAAGGAAAGAGACGATATGCCCCCAAAAGATCTCGGATGGACAGACGGACGGAAGGACAGCTGGACGGACGGACAGACTGATCACTATAGGGCGCCCATCGAGCGGGGCACTTATAATGTAATATGGATAAAATGCATTCCACATTTTTCTTTAAACTTGTAACATATAATGACACTGCATATAAACTACATAAAATGTCCGTTTAAATTAAAAAAAAAAATATGAAAAAACAAGATGTGTTTGTGAAACACTATGCGCCCGGCGTCAACAAAGTTCGAAAAAGCTATTTTTAGTATATAGGTCACAGTCAAGGTCACAAGGTCATTGACCTTGGTGTTGTTTGAAAGAACTTTATTAGAGGAGTATGCATACTAAATATGAAGTCTCTATCTCCTATGGTTCAAAAGTTATGGCAAAAAGTGGAAAAAACTATTTTTAGCATATACCGTAGGTCACAGTCAAGGTCACAAGGTCATTGACCTTGATGTCATTTGAAGGAACTTTATTAGTGGAGTATGCATACTAAATATGAAGTTTCTATCTCTTATGGTTCAAAAGTTATGACAAACAGTTGAAAAAGCTATTTTTAGCATATAGGTCACAGTCAAGGTCACAAGGTCATTGACCTTGATGTCGTTTGAAAGAACTTTATTAGTGGAGTACGCATACCAAATATGAAGTCTCCATCTCTTACGGTTCAAAAGTTTTGGCGAAGGTTAAAGTTGACAACAGACAGACAGACAAACAGACAAACAGACAGGACAAAAACAATATGCGCCCCGAAAAAATTCGGGCGCATAAAAACTTGGATAAAATTTATGACATTTTAATACAGTGTATTAGGGTGTTCCTAAAATGCTTTCATTTTACACTCAAAATATTATTAACATTGAACATGTTCTTGTTGCTAAGCACAATGATCTCTCACCAGCAAAATACCTAGGAATCTTCAGTTTCTCTACAAGACTTGGACAATGGATGGGCAGACTCCAGTCAAACAGGTACCCCTCACACGGCCCGCCCTCTGGTGGACTCTCTATCCTGTCTATATAGTCTGACACAGTTGTCTTCTCTTTGTTCTCAAGACTGGCCCACTCACAAGAATTCTTAACTGAATGTTTCAAAGTAACAGCAATGTCCCCTACAAATACATATAGTGAAATATAGTGCTGTACCACTGCATTTTACTGTAACTGAAGCCAACTCTTTTGTATAATTATGCAAACAATATATACATGTATGTACAAAGAAGAAAAAAGAAAATATTAACCAGCAAATCTTTTGATGAACTGTAGAGTCCAGGGAGTGTCAGTAACATTGATATCTGTGATTATGACAGGTCTGTGTTTTGATGAGTAATCTCCATAAAATCTCTCTGCTGTTAAGTCTAAAGCTGAAACTTTGTCAACCTAAAAATTCAGTTAATAATTAGTAGAAATATCTACTACTTATAAACTACCAGTACTGTAAATTGATCACAAATTACGAATACATGAACCATTTGAATAACTATTACTCAATGAATTTAGTAACCAACACCCTGAAAAATTTCAGTGATTTTTTGATGACATCTTTTAGATGGTAAAGTAATGATAAGTAATTTCTTTGTGTAAAGCCTTTTTCAAACACAGCTTCCCATTTCTGCAATACTGTAAAGGTGGAAACTTTGATGGATTTCTAACAGCCATCAACTTTCCACACATCAGCTTTCACATTCCTGTTAGAGAACAGTGTTAATTACTAGTCCAGTACATCATCAAAGCTTCCACTTGCCACTTTCATAACAAAATTATACTAAAATTTGCTAAGCTTTAAAAACTCTTTCATTTTAACCATTTTACGGTAAATGACAATTTGAGTTACTGTAAAAATACTTTTTTTTCCACGTACTATTAATTTATGCTATGTACATGGTCACAAATTTTTCGCGTAAATTTGTACAATTGAACTTTTTGCAAATATAATGCATATAAGGAGAGTCTTAAGATACCCATGTAATTTTCTACCAGTGCATTGAAAAGAATTAGAGATTCTGCGGAATTATGACCCCTTGGAAAAAAGTATGTCTACAGTACTTGAAATGGCCTTACTTTCAGACAAACTGGAATTGTCAAGTCAGATAACAGGGATGGAAGCCTCATCAAGGCTGACCTTTGCTCCTGTTGAACTCTGACCTGCTTTTTAATCTTCCCAAGAAGCCATTTGTACTCTGCAGCTAAGAAAAAAATCAGAAAATCTTTTATTACTCCATTTTTACAGTTTGTTATTGGTTATTGGTATGTGTATAGGATTGATCAGAAGTGATGTCAATATACTGTAAATCACATTTTATTCGCTTAATTTTCGCATAATTACGCGAGACAATGAGCTCCCGAAAATTTCATTCTCGCGTTTAAAAGTATTCCTTATGATTATATTGAGGAAAAACAACTATTCGTGAAAATTATGTCTTGCTAATAAAGAGTCAATGACTATCTCGCGAAAATAAGGTGTCGCGAAAATTAAGTGATCTACACAGTCTGAATCATATCTAATCATACAGAGCATATTATTAAAAGCAAAATCGGTAATATCGTCTGTATTTAATTTCTTAGTTGCTACGAAGTGGTTTGTTTTATCGGTCGTAGACTACAACAAACACCCAAGCTGTCATACCAATTACCCTGTTACACATACCCAACATGAGCTTGAGATTAATTAAGATTTCCCAGATTTGAAGGTGTTAATTAGGCCTATTAGCCACTGGCGAGAATGTGTGAAGTCACGATGCCAGGTGTGTTCAATGGACCGAAAAATTCACTGCACTTCGAGATAAGCCAGGTAAAAAAGGGCTTGGGACTTTGAATGTACTTCGACATAAGCGGGGTATTCGAGATTACCATGTTCGAGATATCTGGGGTTTTTTGAATCATATATAGAGAAAACGGCCGGGACCGGCGATCGACTTCAACATAAACGGGGTATTTCGAGATATCCCATGTTCGAGATAATGACATTTACCTGTACCTGGTATACATGGTGTACATCACATCACTCCTAATATGGCTCTATCATACCCCAGGTTGAAATAATCTGAACAAAATTTAATCTACACCGCTACCTCAAGATTGTGTTTCTTCATCAGAATTTTTTAATAGAATTTTTCTATATTTTTCTCATGTATAACTTTGATCCCATGTTGTGGCCTTATCTTTCACCCCCCACACCCCTTTCCACTTAATGGAGCTTGATTTAAACAACTGTGAGTCACAATTCAAACAATTTACAATTTTCTTGGCCATTAGTTCTTGAGAGCAGGATTTTTAAAAGATGTCACCTGCATTATCAAAAGAAACAGCTTTCTCAAGGTGTTCTTCAGCAGCACTAAAATTTTGAAGTTTTTCATAAAAAGAACCAAGAGCTGCATGGAGGTTAGAACAAGGGCCAGTGTGTTCCAGGCAGTCTGTCATTCTCTTAACTTCAGTCTTCATGAAGTCTTGGGCTACATCCAGTCTGCAATTCAACAATTTGGAATAAGAATATAACTTAAAATACATATAAGTAGTTGTAATTACATCTCATAGGTGTTTAAAGCAAATTGAAAGTAGGGGCTGAACCAAAATAAAAAAATGATTGGAGACTAAGTCCTAATCTTCAATTGCATATATCATATCTATCTTTGCCAAAAAAAAAAAAATAGTGTGTGTGAGGGGGGGGACTAAACCTCTCTAGCCCCCCAACCCCCAAGTTCCAATGCCTATGTCTCTAGTTTAAAACATTCCATTCAAAATGGTATTTATTATTTTACTTTTATATCAAAGTATTATATCCATTACCTTTTTCTTAATTATTGCTGCTAACAGAGTTTCAGAATGATCCAGTTCTTAGCTTTACCTTAAAAGTATTAGAAAGTTTGGTCTGACCTCATTATTGTTGCTAGACAAGTATTAGAATGGTTGGTCTGACCTAAATATTGCTGCTAGAAGTTGCTATCAGAATGTCTGCTCTGACCTCATTATTGCTGCTAACAGAGTATCAGAATTATTGCTCTTGGGTAAAACATCAGTGTAGGTATTCTTGGTTTCCTGTGACAGTTTCCGCCACCATTTAGCCACCGCAATTTTTACCAAAGGTTCCTCTGACTTGTGTGCTTTCATTAATTTAGGAAATGGAGCAGTTTCTTCATATTTCCTCTTTTTAACTTTTGTAGTATTTGTTGACTTCTTTCCTGAATAAAAAGATGTACATTGCATGTTACAATTTTGAGTCTCTATTTTCATAATTTTACAATAATTACTGAAAACCAAATTTTTGTTTGCATGCGAGAAATATTTGCAAGTTTCATGACCTACTTAAAATCTCGAATGTTATTCACCGCGAACCATTTACTTTGCTCTGTATTTGTATAGGATAATTCCTCTGTCGCAAAAATTAATCATCGTGGATTGATTTAAAAGTGATGAATCGCGAATAAAAGTTGACGCATATAAAAGTTGGTTTACAGTATTAAATATAAATTTTGTTTAAACTATAATTTCTGAAAGCAAATTTAAATTTACGCTACACACTTATAAAGTTAACTAAAAAAATAATTTTTCACAAATATGCTGACAACATTCATTATTTTTCTTTAATAATTTGAGTGAAATTTAAATTACCAAGAACTTCCTGTGTAGTAATTGGCCATTCTGAAATCAATTCCTGCTCCTCTCTCTCACTGTTGTCCATTATTATTCATTATCTTCTACATCACCAGCAGTCACAAGATCTAAACAAAAATTTGTCAACTCCAATGTCATCGAGCAAAATAAGCAAATTGATTCAGATAATTTTAGTCCCAGCTTGAGGAAAAAAGAAGAGCATGGGTGGGAGGACGGAATCTAGAGGGGGCTATCTTTCATTGCAAAGCTTAAAAGCATCTTGAGATATCTTCTAGAAATGACATACACACACACACACACACCCTCCCTCTCACACACACACACAAAGTATGAATTCACAATCATGACATCTGGCCTCAAAATAAATAAGGGTCTTCATTAGACCATAGGAAGTTATAGTATAAAATTTCACTTCAAATCTCAAAAACTCCTCCAGATAGCGGAAACAAAAGTGTTAAAACAGACCGAATTTGCAACCTTAAGCTTTGACTTCAAAATCTATAAGCATTCCTTAGGCCATAGGAAATTGCTGTATAAAATATAATTGCATAACTTCAAAAAATAAACAGAAATGAAAGTGTTACAAACAGACAGAAATACAGATGGATGGATGGACAGACGGAAATTTAATATCCCTCACTTTTTGAAAGCTCAAGACAATAATATCCAGCTAAGCTCTTTATGTAAAGGAGGACACTTCTCTTAAACCACTGAAGGGTCTCCTTGGAACGCTAGAGGACGACATATATGACCTCTCCATAACATCTACCACAGTAGCTGCAGAACTGTAGCTCATTGCTTGAGAAAAATTAAGCATGCATTTCATTGCTATTCTTGATACATTATTTACTTTTCAACATTACAAAACAGCCATTTATGGTAACTGTTTGGAATGTCAATTTTAAAAAAATTCTATTTTGAAGTCCCTGTTGGAGATGATGCATAAAAAAGTATCTTTCATACAACATGCCCTTGCCTAAAAATAGGAGTAAAATAAATGGTAAATTAGCGGTCAAGCAGATACCATTTCTAGAGTGGGGAAAAGCATAAAACAAGAAATAATACCTGAAGTTAGTGAGGAAAAAAAAGCAGAGGCATAATCGAAGGTTTTACAATGCTTGGATCTGTAGCTTTCTGATTAATCTGAATTTTCTCAAGTGGAGAGATGCAGTTCTGTAGCTTCTGTAGTTCTAGTTCTACCACAGCAGAGCATCACAGGAGCTTGTCATCATGGTCATGGCTGTACATAAAGGAGCGTGGCCCGTTCAATAAAAGTAGATCTTGAAAATGCCCTAAAAACTTTAGACAAAAATACAAATCCCTCAATCATCTTATCATTACCTGATTAGCATTTGATTATAACACTTTTCAAAATATCTTTCAGTTTTACTTAAATTGTTTATCGGGAATGCCTAATTGAAGACCTACAGGTAATTGAAGACCTACAGAAGACCTACGGAAGACCTACAAAAATGGGGGATATATACAGCAAAACTGATATGATATTCTGATTAAGCATGTCCTAAATATTTAAAATACACAAAAAGGTTTTATAAAAAGAAGTTTTAAAGTGTATTTTTTAAGCTCGGTAAGGGGAACTATTTCTTCTCTCAGAAGACCTACAGCAAGAACGATAACTCGCGTAAATAACAAATCAGCTGTTTACCAAAACTTATCAAGAAAATGTAATTTTCAGAAAAATGTAATTAAAAAATAATATTAAAGAACGAAAAAAAAATCATTGGAGATACTTTATATACATAAATCAAAGATAAAAAAAAAAAATAAAATGCAATATTCAGTCAGATACAATTCTATTTTGTTTAAAAAAAAAATTGTTATTAAAATCATTAAAATTGTAAACACTGTACATAATTTATAATACCATCGTATGTCAATCATAAAATCATTATAAATACATACACTTGTATATAAGTTATATTTAGTATTTTATATGTGTTTATAAATAGATCAGTATAATATTTAGTTCAGGTTTGAATTGTTGATCATTAATAAAAATTCATTGTGATGGAATGATTTGTGTTCTTGTTATTAATAATACCTAGCAATGTCATTTATAACATCTGGAAATTTTTATAAGATTTGCATTTATATAGAGAATGAAAATTTTAAAATTGCAGTTAAAAGAATTTGAAGTAATTTTTCAAGAATACAGACATAATCACTTTCAAAATCTTATTTCCCCGAGTCAAAGCATCATATTTTTTTAAAAAAAAAATATGCATGCATTTGTGTGATAACATGCATGTTTATTATTTTATTCAATTTTAAAAACTGTGTATTTTCTTTTAATTTAATAATTGAATGATATACCTGGTATCTTCAAGATTGATATAATGTACATGTATATTTTAGCTCAAAATGTATATTAAGAAATAAAACCTTATGTTTCATATTATAGTGCCTATTTCTTGACTTACAGCATGTTATCTGGAAATATACATTTAATTAAGTTATTAAATATTCCTCGTGAATGTCATATAAATGTGTTATATTGAAAAAAGATGACCATTTTGAATATCAAAAAAAATTCAAAACGTAATTCTATTCTGAATAAATGCACAATAATTTTATTTGTTTATTCTTGCTAGCATTTTTAAGATATAAAATAAATATTTTTTTTTATATCTTTGCTCTGTTGACTGCAAATTCACATCCATCAGAGCAAGTGGGGTGTGTTGATAATTGCAATCAAAACACGGATATATCCTCAGGGTGACTGTGTATACAACAAATTAGTGAAGATCGAAGCCCTTAGTACAGAGTAATATTGCTTAGTTGAGAAAAATCCACAGCATACATATCAATAATTTGAACTTGAATATTTAATATTTATCCCATAAAACATATTTAAAAAATTACAATATTTATTAAATATTAACTATAGATTTCAAGAAGAATATTAATTTGATAAATGAAATAATCATGATAATTATTTATATTTTTAACTTCATCAAAATTCATCATCCAGCTGATTTCTTTATCATAATTCATAATTAAAAAACTCAACAAAATCATTTGTAATTTTTTTTATTTTGTCTTATACATATTCTTCCTATAAACTTCACAATATAAATGAGCGTGTTGCTGTTTACAAAACAAGTCATCCAGAGTTATCGTTCTTGCTGTAGGTCGTCTAAGGGAAGAAATAGTTCCCCTTACCGAGCTTAAAAAATACACTTTAAAACTTCTTTTTATAAAACTTTTTTGTGTATTTTACATATTTAGGACATTCTTAATCAGAATATCATATCAGTTTTGCTGTATATATCCCCCATTTTTGTAGGTCTTCCGTAGGTCTTCTGTAGGTCTTCAATTACCTGTAGGTCTTCAATTAGGCAGGCCGTTGTTTATCAGCTATTTACAGTAGGTCACTGGAGTATCCTGGACAAATCAGCTCATTCTTACTTACATGTTTAGTTTACTTTTCATACAAACGATACATTAAGAATGATTAAAGATGCTTAAACAACCGTGATTATTTTCAAAATAGCCTTTTCACGTTACACGTGCACGGTGTTGATTGTTGTTTTTTTTCGGCGGCTTATTGTTTGTCAACTCGCGGCAATTCTGGCGAAAATGAAAGTAAGTGTTTTATTACCTTTACAAAGTTTTAAATATATATATAATATCTGCAAAATAGTAATTTAAAAACATTTTTGATGACAAGCAATTTAAAAAACTGACAGAAAAGCAAGAACATTTTAACAATTATTACGAAACATCCATGTAAGACCTAATTTTGCAGTTCAACTTTGAAGAAGGTAAACTCAAAATATTTAAAGAAATGTCTTTCAGAAAGTCACAAACTATAGAGTTTGTGGAAATATTTGCTATTTTTTGCTAATTACAGAAGAATATTTCTTCTGTTGGAATTGTTTTATCTGTAATATCCGTTTGAGAAAAGAAGTTGAACAGGTGTCAGTTTCGCGGGAAAAAGCATGCTTTTTTAAACCTGCAAATACCACATATTTAGCACCTTTGCAATATTTCTCAATAACATGTGGTGTCTATAACAAAATCACGATTTCTATGCTGTGTATAAGCCCTGACCTGGTTTTTCTCGCATCAGCATCTAGATCAGGCATGAGAAATTATTGCATTTCACCCAAGGATTGAATATGGAAAGGTTTCAGTCTGGACAAACTCTTTGAGGCATGGGGTTATTGTCAAAAAAAACTAAACCATTGGCTCCATCACAAACCACTGCCAAAATGTACGATCCTCACCCATTCTGGACTTGAGAAGAGAATATCCCGTAGTTCATTAAAATATTTACCAATGCAAGTAATAATTAAAGCATATAAAGCGGATAATGAAATTTGATGTGATCTTTCAATACCCAATTGCAGTGTACGAAATATTTCTTGTATACTGCTGATGTAAATTGTTGATTTCAAATGCGATGGAAACAAAACTTGTTATTGACTGAATATGACATCACAATAGAGAGGGGATAAATATTCAAAATTTCGACACTTTTTGTGATCAAGCAGCCACGGGTAGGAGAGAGGTATATGCGGACTCCGGACCGAGTGTGGTTTGAGACAATGGCTCCATCATACAGTGCAGCAAATGTCCAAAAATAAATTATGTAATATAATTATTTTTGTAAAATATTTCAAACATTATAACACTAACTGTACACGAACAAGAGATATTTGTAAAACGATTATGCCCCCTCCCCCAAATAACTGGAATTTTTCTAAGTCAAAAGCTAGGGCATAACTCTGTTTAAAACGACCCAATCGACAATCGTACCCCAAACAAAACTTGGCCTAGATATTTTGATAAATCTGTACACCAAATTTCATTTCAATAAGTGCAACCTCTGCAAAGAAAATGAACGGAAACTGCAAATTATTGGAATTATTCAAGTCCAAGAGGCATAACTCTGTCCAAATTGGTCTGACCGTACCCAAAATAAAACTTGACCTAGATATTCTGATATTTCAAACTCTTTGCACAAGCATCTTTTGTAATCCATGGTTTTTACAGAAAAATCAACATATTTTTTGGTTTAGTGCATGTTACATCTCCAGCATCTTTTTAAGTCTCAAATTCTTATTCTGATAGCTCCATTTCTTAAGTTTGTCAGATGGCACAAAATTCAAAACAAGCTGCATTTATTCGTCTCTTATGTCTGTAGAGATGATTATGAATGGGAAGAAGCAGAGAAAATATATAGGTTGGTTATAGAATATCTCGACTTCTGTAGAAGTAGGGAATGAATGGTAGTTGATTGTCCAATGCTGGGAGGTAGAGAAATATATACCTCCAAATGTGTGCAGAAAATCTTGGGCTGTAAATTGCACAATAATTTCATTATGGGTTGTGAAGTAGCATTTAATACGACCAGAGACTAAAATACAAATCCATTACACTGACTACAGTTTCTGCAGCAAGGCTATAACCTTCAAGTTCATAGATATATCTCTTGGTTATGATCTGAAGTCATGTATTCACCAAAAGCCAAAGTCAGCAATTCAAGGTCAAAGTTGCTACCTTCAGAAATACAAAATGCATAGCAGATATAAAAGATGAAAAAAGTGTTTGATGAAAGTTCAATATTAAAGTTAATCTCCAAGTATTGTATATGAATTAAGATAGAAAGAGGTTACCGGGTAATTAAGTACAGTAAAAGCACTAGTATCAAACATGTTTATAATAAAATTGTTATTTACATTCCACAATATTTATATGTAAAAATGTAAAAAGAATTGAACAGATAAAATAATTTTTTTTGTAAATTTTCATGGTTTGAGGAAAAACTCTTGGTTCATGGGAATTTAATTTTGTGGATGAAAAATTGTTTAGTAGTTATGCATGTAACATTTCATGGTTGACTTGAATCTGTGGATCTCTCCATACCTTGAAAACAATGAAAATTAACCCCCCTCCCCCCCCCCCCCCCCCCCCCCCCCGAAAATTAGTGATTTCACAGTACTTCAGCAGGGGATCCAAGATAACTTCACTATTTCAGTGAATTTGCAATATCTGAGTTCACACTAAATGAGTTTTACTGTATTTCATATCTACACTTTGCTATAGGTTTCTTTTATTGTAATGCATGGTTAACATTGAGTAGTGTGTATTTATCTGTTGGACATAACCACAGGTAATACAGAAGAGTGGTCACTAATAAGTATCTAACACTTAAAGGGCATAACTTGTCACTAGCCTAACAGTAATTACTTATGATTAGGCAGGTAAATGGAGTATTAAAGTTGGTAAAATTTGGCCAGCTCTAATCTCCGAAAAAAAAATGTCGGAAAATCAAATTTTAAAAGAAAATTTATAACAACCCATCTTATTTCAATTTATTAATAAATATAATGAATAATTTAAAGGCAGGTAAAATTCCTAAGGGAATATTAAAGTTGGTAAAATTTGGTCACCTCTAATCTCTGGATAAAAAATATCGGAAAATCAAATTTTGAAAGAAAATTTATAACAACCCATCTTATTTCAATTTATTAATAAATATAATAAATAATTTAAAGTCTTTTTATGCCCCTATAATTGAAGCATATAGACTAATAGATTTTGCCCTACTTGTTCTTCTATCTAGTTGTCCGTTTGTCTGCAAGAATATTTTACAGGTCTATAATCCTTGCAACAAGACTTTACTGCTCATCTGAGCCGATAGTTCATGTGAACTTTTCTGATCACAGTTTGTGTGGTCTATAAACTTTTCACAGCATTGGTCAAACTTGCTAGAAAGCATCTAGGGATGAAAGGGATTCAAATTTGTTCGAATGAAGGGCTACATCCTAATTCAAGGGGAGATAATTATGTGGCGGTCAGCTGGGTTTGATCGCCGGTGGCCAGATAGCTCAGTTAGTAGAGCACTTGACCGGAGTTTCAGGGGCCCGGGTTCGAATCCCGGTCTGGTCCGCTGCATTTTTTCCTCTCCTGTTACATTATTTGACCTGTTGACCTAGCTGCAGAACTGTAGCTCTCTGCATTAGAAAATTCGGACAGATATAGCAGAGAGCTACAGATCCAAGCATTGTAAAAACCTTCGATTTACGCCGATGGTTTTTTGTCGCTCACTTCGGGTAATTTTTCCTGTATTTGAATATTTTATACTTTCCCCAGCTTAAAGAATGGTATTTGATGATTAATCATACATTTAACTTCAATTCCTAATAATTTACCTACCTGTCAACGCTGTCAAATGGCTGTTTGTGTTTACGGACGTCAAAATTGAACTCTTTTAAACCAACATTACAAAACTATTTACAGGACAGTTTGAACCGTTAAAAAGTAAATAAATTATCAGGAGTAAAAGTTAAATATACGATTAATTATAAGATACCATTCTAATAGCCAGAGAAAGCTTTAACTACACAAAATAAATACCTAAAGTAGCGACAAAAAATCTTCTCAAGTAGAGGGCTACAGTTCTGCAGCTACTCTTGACCTTGCAATTTGACCTTCATTTGCAAAATTGTACCAAACTTTAACTTTGGCCATAACATTTGAACAGTTGGTGCTAGAGCTTTCTTATATGATAGGTGTTTTCCATTTGGAAAAAAAAATTGGTACCATTATTTTTTATTTCTTGACCCTGAGCTTGGATTTGACATACATTTTAGACACTTTCACCATGAGCTGCCTTATGGGGGCATGTGTTTCACAACACACATTGTTTTTCTGATTTGTTCAGGTCTACTTAGGCCAAGGATGTTGTAATTTGTTTTTGTGATACTTAAGATGAATTTTGTACTAGATTAATGATAATGATGATTAAACTACCATTACAGTTTTATGATGAATTTTTGCAAAAATACCATCACTCATTTGTTGATATGCATGTACATTGGAAAAAGGTATAGGAAGGCTACTAGGAAATTTGTTATTTAATTAATGATTAAGCCCTCTCTGATTTAACATTTAAAAGAGGAAAAAATAACGAAGTTTGTTGATGATAGTGAATTCAATTTTGATCAATAATACAGATTTTGTCTCAGGACTTGATATATATTTTGTTACTTTTATAGCTGAGTCAGCTGTTGATTGCGTCCCGTAGGAAGTGGGATAATTGGTTGTGTATTGATTTTCACCTGCTGATTACAGGTATTTTTTATCCTTACTGTTGAGGAAGCTGGCAGGTTGAGACGGCCCATCACAGAACCAGGCAGAGGGAGTTCTTAATCCCTAATGACCTGAATAGCCTCCCCTGTCAAAGGTAATGATTTATCTTAATGATTATACTGAAATTAGGACAGTCCAAGTTTTCTATTATATGTTCACTGTAAAAAAAAAATAACAGTAATCGATTTTATTTAAAATACTCTCTCATTATTTTCTGACAATTTGCAATGTTTTACCCAGATTTGAAGGATCTGAAAAAAATGATTAGAAATTAATTTTTAAGAAAAATTGAAACAAAGATCAACCCAAACACCAGGAGATATTATTTATATAGACCCTGGTATTTCCTTGTCTGGGGTATAGTAGTTTTGATCTGTCTGTGTTACAGTGAATAACTTGGAGCCCGAGGACACTGACCTTACCATATCTCCAACATCAGTACATAAAATCAGAGGAAATTACGGACAAACAATCAACAGTCTACAGTCAAAAATTCCAACAGGTAAAGGACTCCACTTATCAGGCATGTTTATCAAGTTTTACAGAATCAAGAATTTTTAGGGGAAAGGGGACATTTTACTTAGAGATTAGGGATTATCACTGAAGCATGCTGAGCATGTGTTGACAAATATTTGCAAACTTTGTCCATTTTATGTTTTAAATATCCAGCCCATGGTGTGTTCAAGACGGCATAACCATTCATATGGCAGTGTATATATGTAACAAGTGAAGCATGTTAAAATACTTCTATTGTGATTTAAATGAATTCTTCTGAATTAGCCGAGTGCCAGCCTTAGAACAGGTAGCCGGTTCCACTAGAAGCTGTCAAAATTCCAAGTATGTCACCATTTCTCTAAAAATTCAAAACGTTTATCTAAAGTCTGCTTGCAAATTCTCCAACTGTTCATCAGGGATAAGAAAAAACTCGGCACAGGTGGACTTACAAGGTGAAGTTTATTGTCAAATTAATTGTGAATAAGGAGGGTGTGTTAGCCCATGGAGAAATGTCATCGATTGGTCTATTGAAGTTATTGCTCTAAACTAAAGGTGTTTTTATAAATAGACTATTGAAACGGGATATCTAGACTTGTGTATTTGATCAACTCCTGTCGGTGTTCATTGTTTTCTTTCGTTTTTCCTTGGATTTATTGGAGTTATTATTCATTGATTGGAATTAAGGGTAAGTAAATTATGATATACTACCCATTGTGTGAATTTAAATCAACATTAAATGACCTGTTTAGTTTCTATGAGGATTGGGAAATTCATTGGGTGGGTCTTAATGCTTTGAACAGTTTTAGGAGGTTATAATGTTTATATAATCTGGAATCATTTACATCGATATTGCTCTATCCTTGTTCTGTAAGGGGAGAAAGGTATAAATAAGTAATGCTAAGTGACAATATTTGTTGGTCTGTCATACTGTGCTATATTTTTTTCTATACAGAAATTTATGGAAGTATTTGAGTCTTTTGGTGACTAGTCAAGGAAAGGTCATACACACATGGAGAATTAAAGACCAAAAAGTTTGATTATGTTGATCAAAGTAAATATATATATAGATTAAAATTGTCGATGCATGCATATTTGAATTTAAAAAGTGCATATAATGAATCCACAAACAGAATTTAAGAATAAGACACTCTGTGATGTTCTGGTCCTGATTTTTCTATTAAACTTGACAGTTAACAATGTGTCTTATGTCATATTTCACTCTGTAAGCTAGGAATGGACCGTGCCACTTGCACTACGTCATGTTCACTTTTTTGGCAACATGATCAAAGTTAACAATAGGTTAAATCCACCATTTGCAAATATTGTGACTCTTTTAGCAGAACTAATTATCTTTGGGATTTTATTTTGGTCATGTTACAAACTCTAATTTTTAAAAATTTCTAGATCGTTATATCTATCTGTTTAATATGCAGGTCCATGTTTTGTTGAACAAGAAAGTTGGATGTTTTTTTTTCCTCTTACTAAGCTTTCTATGTCAACATTCTCAATGTCTTCATTAAAAATCTTCACTGAATCAATGTACAGAATGAATGAAGACCCACTCCTCAGAGAGAGAAACAGATGCAGCAAATTACACATACCATCTAACTGTATAAAACATCTCTCATAGACAAGAATTTTTTTAATCAACTACCATTGATTAGGTTGTAGAAAATGTTTGCGGACCTTAGCTTACTGTTGTTGTTGTTGACATCCAAAGGTTTCACAGAAACACACGACCCCAATGTTCCTCTCTCTGTTACACCAGAGACAGCATTTGAAATGACATTGACATAACACAAGAAGTACTGGTATTGAACCTTCATTTGATTATCAGAAGATCACTTCATACAGGACAAATTTGTTTTTCCTCCATGACATTGAAAGAAACTAACATGGATCAGACACCCTTTGGACTAAGTAAACTGTATAATTAAGCATGGTAATAAAAGTTATGGTCTGGTTTGTTTCATAATTTAATTGTCATGCCTTTGATGTTAAATTTTACATATTCATATTTAAAGTGATTTAAAATTCTGTATGTGTCCTTTTTCTGTGGTTTAGTGTATTAAGTTAGATGTGGATTTAAGGAGACCTGGGGATTAGAAAGTCTGTCATTTCATTTAGAAATCCAAACAAATATGCTTTACCAAGATCGCATGATGAGTGGGTGTGTCTTCATCATGGATTTCGCAAGTTACTGGGTCTTCAGAAAAATCCTGCAAACTTGTTTTGGGACAAAAATGGGTGTTTCTCCTTTAGCCTCTGTAACAGGATATTACTAAGTGAAAAGATGATCAGGGAATCTATTTTACTTTCAGATTTATAGAAATGTGACAACAGGAGAAAGAAAAGTGAAAGAAATGTCAGCTCTTCTGAGAAAACAAGGTGAATAAACCACAGTCTTTAATAATGAATATAATATTAACCTTACTTTTTGTTGGACATTTTCCTATAGGTCTTATAAGATAGATATAAACAGTGAAAGGTTCTACCCTGTAAAGTTCAGTAGATGGTAATGTTTTACTATACAGTCCATTCAACATTAGTTTGATATCTCCAAAGAATTCTGTGAGAACTTTTGTTTTAGTATTGTAAAAAGTCTTGATCACATGCATGGTATACGCTATATTAATACCGAAGGTATGGGTACCAGTACTTGCTAGTTGAAAAACCTTGGTGCATTCAAAGTGTGTGTAAAAGGTATAAAATCTAGTTGACTTTAATTACTGAAGAGAGTGGATAATATGTGTTTTAATTACAGGATATTTTATGACAGAAACATTTATGTCATTAAAAAATAGCATATCTTTTTCTTAAAATCATTAACTTTAAAAATTAACATAACAGGTGCTTGGTGAAGGTTACTGCATAGTTCTTACAACAGGTAGGGAACCTTCAGTACTCATTCCAGGCTAGATTATTTTACCTTGTAAAGATTAAGTAATTCAGGGTTTTGATTTCAGTTTTGGTAACCTGGTAATCACTAAAATATATCTTGAAATTTTCTCAAAACGCTGATTTTAGTAAAACTTGGCAATCAAATAAACTTTATCTTGATACTGTAGATCACTTAATTTTCGCGACACCTTATTTTCGTGAGATAGTCATTGACTTTTTGATAGCGAGACAAAATTTTCACAAATTATGGCCATTGCGCTATATAATCTTAAGGAATTCTATTATACACGATATGTTTTTGATTTCACTGAAAAATATTTCCATGGTGACTTAAATTGCTACAGAAAAGACTTCCAAGCTTTTGGTCTAGACTGAATAAACTGTAATTAATTTCAAAACGCAAAGAAAGTAATTTTGTGAGTTTAAAATTGGAATGTTTCTCACACAGATATAGAAAGTGATTTACAGTACTTACTTAGGAAAATGTTGCCACTGTTTCTTGAATGTATGAAGTTTGGTCTGATTTTAAAAAAAATGTAGTACATATGATGACCTTATTAAGATACATATTTCTGTTCATATGATTTTGATTTCAGTGAACAATATTCCCATGATGACTTGCTACAGAATAATATTAAAAATCAATTCAAAATGCTAACTCTTTTGGGCTTCTCTCCTTTTGGTTTAGACTGAGTAAAACCTTAATTTAATCAAGTGATTTTGAGAAAGTTAAACCTCTAAATGTTACAAATCCAAATGCAGTGTTTATAAGTTCAAATTTTCAGACTATTTTGACCTAGAAGAGCTCAGACCATAGAAAGATATACAAAAATGATCAAATTTTAAAACTAAAATTTTTGAAATTTTTCTTTGCCAAATGATAGTTGACAATCCTTTCAATGTTTATATGATTTTATATTTCTATTTAAACTGAGGAGCCATTACTGCGTATTATGCTGAAGACAATTTATGCATGCATTCCCTATCAATCAGATATAGGAGACAGCAGGATATTTAATCTATAGGACAAGTTTTGTAGGAACAACTGAACATACTTTGTCAACTTTATCATTGAGAAGAAAAAAAATGTGTCAATTATGCTTATACATGTAGTTCTACTAAGCAATCAAAGTATTCAATATACATGCCTACTTGAGGGGTCACCTTAAAGCATGGTTATCATATGTACATTGGGTGTACACTTACCTACGAAGTAAATGTGTGGCAGGTACATGAACACAATGCATTATGTATTAACATGTAAAAGTTTGCATGTAAGTACTGGAAACAAGAACTTTTTGTGCTCCTAAGTTGCAGTGATTCTTTCAAGGATTCCTCTTTTCTTTTTTTTTTGATGTGAAATTTGATTTTATTTTAAAATTTCTTATTATTGTCAATAGTTCATTATAACGACTAGTTACTCTACACTTTCTAGTGACTGTATGGAATCAGTATCTTGTAGTAGATATCATGAGAAATGTTAAAAAAAACAATGGCACTTCATTTTATATTTGCCCAGGGATTAAGAAGTAATTCGCAGAGCTTATTTATAAAGTGAAAACTGTTAAAGCGATGACAGAACGTATTTGACCTGGTAGAGTGCATACCTCTAAGGATCCCATGTTGGCTCATAGAAGGCTGATGTTATATTAACATGTTTGTTTTTATTTATCTAACATGGTGTGGACATACAGTTCTGTAGATCAAATTGATTCTAATTGTTATATACCTAGGCTGTTAAATATTGATAGACGTGAAGAGATTGGCCTCAATCCATTGGTTATTCAACAGTTAAATACAGGGTTAGGCAGACTTAGTGACATAACGAGAACTTCCAGAGCAGCCCACAATCCTGATTTTTTACAACTTTTCTGCTTGGGTAGCCTTTGAGTCTCTCAATGATTTAAATTCTTCTTTTGATTTCTTATAGGAATTTAGGCTGTGGCAAATTATTTTGGAAAAGTTACAAATCATATGTATGCTGGCAGCTTTCAATATTATGAAAAGATGATCCGTTTTTTCTTTACTTCATGAAGTCCTCCTTGAATCGCATTGTCCAATAGACATATATCAAAGAGAAGGGCTCTTAAGGGCCTTATTTGGCCATGATAAATTTTAAAAAATTCAAAGCTGTTCAATTTAAGGCAAAAATGCATCAAGTATCATTTGGAGCACTTTTCACTATATGTCTTTTAAATGTTATGACAATTTTCTTGCTTGTCTCTTTATTGTGAAGTCATAAATTGCAAAATTATACCCATTTATAGATTTTATTTTCAAATTACCTAGTAAGCGTAACCTGCAATCCCAAATATACAAGTATTTTTAATTTATTGTATAAAACATGTTAAATCTATGAATGCCCATATTTTAATACATCACTTTTTTGTAAAAGTCTCTTCTTCATTTTTAGCTCTACTAGTCAGAGACCAGAAGAGCTTATGTGATAGTAATGCGTCCGGCGTCCATCCTTCTGTCTGTCCGTCTGTCTGTAAACAATTTTTCAAAACGCTACTCCTCAGGTACAATTTTAGTCTGATTTCAATATAACTTGGCACACAAGTAGACTACACTAAGATGCATAAAATAGTGCATCAGTTTTTGATTTCAATGAGCGGTGTTGCATGGTTACTAAAAATAGAATTTTCTGTTTCCTTTAAAATGCTACTCCTTCTAAAGTTTTGGTCTGATTTCAATATTACTTGGCACACAAGTAGACTACACTAAGATACATAAAATAGGGCATCGGTTTTTGATTTGGATGAACGATGTTGCCATGGTTACTAAAAGTAGAATTTTCTGTGGAATTCCTTTAAAATGCTACTCCTTCTACAGTTTTGGTCTGATTTCAATATAACTTATCACACAAGTAGACTACACTAAGATACATAATTCTGTGCATTGGTTTTTGATCAGTACAAACCAGTAGAGCTACAATCTCGACAGAGACTTCTGGTTAAAATTAATGTTAGACATATGATGACAGTTTATTAAAATGTCTACATACAGGGACATTTATACAAATAAAGTAAACTCAGCTCTTAAGGATTGTGTCTTCCAAGAAATTTAAGTGTTTCCCTCCTCTCTATGCTGCATTAAGTTGTCTAATTTGCCCTGTCACTTGAAAATCTAATGAAATTTTTCACTTACTGTAAATGTATTGCATTTAGCAGTGTATTCTATTTAGCGATTTAGTGGAGAGCAGAGTCCGTTAATTCAAGTACATCGCTAAATGTCTTGTATGTTAACATTTATAAATAGCACATGCAGACAGCACTAAATCAGATCTACGCTAACTTGTTGAAAATTGAATTTCCGCCAAATATTGTACACGCCAAATGTAATACTTTTACAGTATATTGCTGAATAAAAAGGTGTATGAAAATTGCAAATGCTGAGAAACTTGTTATGTTGATGTTCTATTATGTTCATCTTGATAAAATGTTTTAAATTCAGCAGATATTGTCTCTTGACAGCTATAGACTCTGCAATTAAACCTGTGGGAAACATTAATTACCTGGGTATATTGTCTTGTAATGTACACAGTTCAACAATACCGAGGCGACAATACCAATTATGCAATTCAGTTCTTTAACAAGGGCTGTGTTTGTAAATTTTCTTCTTTGCATTGATGTGAAAAATATCATTATTGTTTGCCAGACATGGCTGGTTTTCTACGAATTGTTGAAGACAATCATTACTAGCAATATTTGTAATGGATTCCTTCCTTCTGAAAGAGGTGCATTGTCCAAAGAATTAAAAGGAATGTGTTCAGATATCAGGTGGAATTGATCGATTTCTTGTCTGTATTTACTTTTATATGCAATCAAATATTGAAGTGTAAAGTGTGGTTTCCTAGGTCTATCAAAATCACTTTATCGATGTGGAGTGTTTGTTAAAGAAACTGTTTACAGTCTGTGCATGCAGTTGTGTTATGGTTGATTGCAATTCTGAATACAGTTAGGATGGACCAATTCCTTTCCAACAAAAATATGTATATGAGAACTGTACCCATACAAGAATGAAGGATAAGACCTCTTTTCAAAGCAGGTGCCAAAATGCATGAAAAGAAAGTAATTGAAGGTTACAAAGTTACTCCACTGAGTTAACTCATGTTGCTGTTTTTCAGAGAACCAATGAGTAGTGAGTAAGAGACACAGACCAACATGGATAGCCCAGAAAACACAGAGGCGGATCATGGGGTGGAGGACATGATCAATCTGAGGTAAGTGTTTCTGTTACGCTGTCAAAGATGAGGAACTAGGACAGTGGATCTAAGATCTGGGGCCCCTTTTACAAAAGAACTTACGGCTAAGACCAAAAAATTCAGTTGATTGTAGAATTTTGCCAAATCAATGATTCTGTTTAAAGTTGCTAACATAAAAACATTTTTCTAAATTCCTTTTCTATAGATTAAAACCATTTTCAATTTTATGTAAATCAGAAACTTACAAGCAGAATGAAATTTTGGTTTTAGTCGTAAGTTCTTTCGTAAAACAGGTCCATGATTATACATACAGGTAGCTCTAAGCCCTACCTAGGACAATGAATGCATCTAATGATGCATACTTATAGAGTGATCTGTGATGTTGCATCTTATCTAATATTAATCCATATAAATGGGGGGAAAGTTTTAAAGCAGGTCCTAATCTCAGGCCCAAACATAGTCAGTTGGCAATCTGCAGTACCTTGGGAGTGCACACTCACATTCTTGCCTTGCCTTGCTCACATCCATGTTTACTTCATGAATGGCAAGGTTTACATTTTTGTTGGAATTTCTATATCCTTCTTAACTGTATTAGAAAAGCTAGGAATCCATTCCAGTATTGTTTCTGACCTCTAAATTTTGAAACAAAGAAGACTAGGGCTGGGTATTGGCCTGAGATTTCGTATTGCGATATATTGCGATATTTTTAACTGTATTGCGATATGTATTGCAATATTTTCAATGTTATAAAAATGGCATTTTCTTTCTACATTTATTATAATTTACATGCAGAATGTACATAACTTTATGATGATGAGTAACCAACACAGAAAAAAAAATCTTGTTGAATTCATTTAAGTTATGCTCTGAAATGTTCCCACAAACAACTTTTGACTTACTGTTTGGTTTAATTACAAACTTTTATAAATCCATTTTTATATTTAATGACAAAATTCCTTACTCTAAGCATATTGCCAATATATCGATATTACAAAATTGTATTGCGAACATTTTTTTGTTTGTATTGCAATATATTGAAATTTATCAAAGTTGTTTATAAATAAAATTCATCAAAGTGTATTCAGTAATCATTGACTGTTTAGTATTATTTATTTCTAAAGCTTGTTTTCTGTATTATTGTCTAGATGTGTGCAGACAAACTTAATAAATGACCGATTTACCAAAAACCTGGATGATTTATATTGATAAATGACTTGAGCATATTTTTACATCATAATTTTTATTTGAACATGCATTTCTGTAATATTGACAAGAACTTGTTCTGTTGTTAAATGTTAAGAAACAAGTGCAAAACCCAAGAGTTGAAAAGAAGGAATTTCTCAGGTTTGTGAGAGCTAGATTTCTTCCGGTTCACTAAACAGATCCTTTTTTATTGCACAAACTTTCTTTGGAATTCCTTTCCTTTCAATTTAAATACCTATGTGGTAGAATTATTCTACAAACTTGTTGTAGATTGCAGACTGTTAATGGCTTAAAGCTGATAGTATGCATGTAAATTACATGGTGGAAAAGAGTTTTCACAGTTGAAATAGTTTTTTTTAAAAATTAATGAGTGTACAAGGTCATATTCAAAATATATGGTATCTTAATTCATTGGTCGGCAATAAATGAATTGAAAGAATGGATTCCTTTAGCAATAAAACTGCTTGTAAATTAATTTATTCCTCTGAACTTGTTTACCCAGAAAGCTGAATAAGTGCCTGTCGTTTATTTTGATTATTGTTTAAACCATCCTCTATTGGTCATGCTTGAGTTTTTAAAACCATTTACTGGTAGATTGAATGAGTTTTAGCAGGAAAAAGAAACCGAATCCTGCTTTCATGATTTAGTTGTCTTTTATGGAAAATCCTGTTCATCTAAAATTAGTGAAAAAAAGATACCTGAAATGATTTAGGCCAAGTTTTGAAATGTTGGTATTATGTGGTATTATGGAGGATGCAATAGAGAGTCTTTGGGGCATGACAGGGCTTTGTTGCCTGGGATCTAAGTCCCGATTTTCATTCATAAGATGTATATACTCGAGATGGAAACATCCGCGGCCCTTGTATAGGATGTATGAGTATCGGCATTGTTAATTGTCCAAATCTGCTTATAGGTGACATCCTTAACTGTTTAGTCATGAATGAAGCAGATCTTTTTTCACATTTTGTGTTGTACTTTGCCTCTGCCAGTTTCCTATGAGAGGAAAAGAGAGATTGTGTTTAAATGTGTGAAATATGAAAGAAAGAGAAATCGGTTTGATTGCTCCTACAAGTTAACAAAGCATTGCATGACATGGGTTCATTATATCACATTAAGAATATCCATATCTGAAATTTTTTACTTTCTGATTTTGTTATGCTAAATAATTTCTGTGTGGCCCTTATTGAAGTCTGCAGTGTATCATTGCAGTCCAGGGCTAGACCTGTTTTTGGGCATTGATCTAATAGCTATATTAAGGGCGGCTTGTCAAAGTTCTGATTAGCCAATACAATGGATTATTGTGCCCCTACTGATAACGCTGTTTTATTAATTTGGTTAAAAATTTCTCCTATCTAAATCAAAGGTCTTTGGTGACTTGGATACTGGGCAGCTATGAGTTGCCTTTTCTTATTCCCATCAGTGGTAGATAGGGGGTTGTCATTGCAGTTCTGTTGTAGATAGGGGTCTGTCATTGCAGCTCTGTGACCGGTACACAGTACACTAGATCTTCTCTAGGATTACATGGTCATTGCTCCAAACACTTCCACAATTGGCAACCATTCAAAGGTTTAAAAACCACTGGGCCTATCTTATAAAAGTTGGATTGTTCCTCTCTAATCTCTGCTAGGACTTTTAGAACTTGTTACATGATGTTTGAAAATAACTTGTCCATTCTGTTTCATCAGATGAAGGGCACATGGGTAGAATTCTCAAAAGAGCCCTTACTTAACAAAATATACACCGCTTCTGAATAATTAAATGACCTAGTCTGAGGTTTAATACTATTGTACAAGCTGAGTTATTGATTTCTCAAGTATACAAAAGTAAAGACATTTCCATTTTCATTCATTTAATCTCATATATTTTGTAAAGTTTAGCCCGATTCAACTGCAAAGTTAAGGAATTCAATGTTTATATAGAAACTAAAATATTTTCTTGTCAGTATATCAATACCTACTCATTCTTGTTTTTAAACTTGACTAAAATATAGAGGAAAGCTCTCAAGTATATCTTGGGAGATTGTTTTTGAAGGCAGAAATGACTTCATCTCCATGATCTTTAGTACTAGGTTTTAAATTTGAAATTTTGTTGATGTACACTTCATATTAAGTCATTTAATGTTTTTAATTTTATGATAAAAAGTGTTAGAAAAGAGATTTAATATGAAAGGATGGGATTTTCGAAAGGAATATTAACTGAAGGATGCACTTTTAAGCCTCAATTGTTGATGTACCGGGTATGTCAAATTCTGATGTCCCAAAGTTGTCTACAATACATAAAACCCCACAAATGTGCAATTGTTCATGAAAAATAAAAGTTGAAACTTGAATACATAGCACTCTTTGACTGTAGACTCACTACAACAATTCTATGAGATACTGAGATTTTAACATTTAATTGTATTTACATGCATATCTTTAAAATTTGTGGGGCAAATTTTCAATGGTTTTTTGAATAAAATATTTGATTGAGGGATTTGAATTTAATCATGTTAAAGAAGTGATGGTAGACAAATGTGTTGGTGTAGTTTTCAAATTTAACATTTTGTGAAGGACATGAAATCATCTCTTCATCAATGAAACAACAACAACAACAATGAAAACTAGTGATTTTACAATACATCACTACCTCACTGAATACAGTGAAGGTTTGCTATTATTTTTGGTGTTGGGATTAGCTGACAAAAACCTTAAATCTTTTGTTTGTAGTGTCCTTGATGAGAGTGTCATTCTGAGAAACTTAAAGATCAGATATGAGAGGGAACTTATCTATGTAAGTTTTTATTCCAATAACTTTGTTCCTATTGTCAATTTTACAAAGATTCTTAATACAATTTTTTTAATATATACATTAAGATTTTATCGGAGTTCTGATATTAAAGACAGAGTTGTGTTCCTTTGTTGTAGACCTTCACCGGTAGTATCCTGGTGTCCGTCAATCCGTACAAAATGTTTAACATCTACGGACTGGACATGGTCAAGAAGTACGAGGGTCAGACGCTGGGAACTCTGCCTCCGTACGTTATAAACACTCAGATCCAGAAAATTAATGGCTTTTGAATTCATTTGAACATTTATTTATACTCTTGAATATAACATTGTATCCGGAATTTTAATACTTTTTTAAAAATGTTTTTCAGACATCTTTTTGCCATCGGAAGTGCTTCTTATGGGAGGATGATGAAAGAATTGGAGAACCAAGTTTTAGTGATCAGGTCAGGATTCACGTTGACAACCACCATGTAAAACAAGATGTTTAGCATCAGCCATTATCTTATTACAAATTTAAAATTTAAACAGGGAGCAAAAAGTGACCCAGAAAAAGGGTGTAGTTAAAAAGGTGACCATTAAACAACACAGTGTACTTAATTTGAAATTCAAAGTGATAATATCTGTGCTAATTCATGCAAAAGTCCTTTTTGTCTTACAACATCTGACAGCGGAGGGCAGTGGGGTTACAATACATTAGAATCCACTGATGAGATAGGTTATTCATTATTTCAGTACGGTTTTAACACCTGTACTTCATTATTTCAATAAAAATAACTTTATTGGGTGTAAACTTACTGATTCTGCATGAGAAATTAATTATTGTTAGTACAAAAGTAACATCATGCAAAAGCATTTGTTTTTTTTAATTCAAATAATGAAGTACATTTTTAGCTTGTCATAAGTGCAATGTCATTAATGTTGGTATTCATAGCATCAAATCTTCAATGCAAAAATTCAAATCAAAACACAGTTTCTTGTTTAGAGTCATGTAGTATTTACACATTCCTCCACCTGAAAATAAAAAAATACTGATAAGTCAAGATTATTTGATGTTGAAGGACGTCAATAGGTGTTGATGGTGATGTTTTTTTTCTGTTTCAGTGGGGAGTCTGGGGCAGGTAAAACAGAGGCCACTAAGTTAACGATGCAGTATCTGGCCGCGGTCAACAAGTCTGGTAACAACCTCATCACCGAGCAAATCCTGGAGGCCAACCCACTACTGGAGTCATTCGGTAACGCCAAAACAATACGCAATGACAACTCCAGTCGATTCGGAAAATACATCGAAGTTTTCTTTAGAGAGTGAGTTTTTTTATAAAACAAAAGAAAGTGATTAAATTAGAATGTTCCATTGCCTACTTATCATTTACCTCCTGGATAGAATGAAAGACAAGCTGGGGTCTTAGTTCATACTTAATAAATTTAATAAATTTTACGTGTGAAGAATTGTACTTGTAGCATGACTCATTTTTATTTTTCCCAAGAACTGAAAAGTAGAAATTTATTTTCAAATCAGGAAGTGCCTTTATAAACTGTACAGTTGACATTGTGAGGTCCAAGCAAGCACTTTCAAACAGGTCAATTGAAGCAAAAACATAAACAGTTTAGTTTTGAACTGTTCAAACCCTGGTTCAGTAGCTCTCTCCATTGGTTACTAGCCCTTATCATAAGTTTGATTTTCTTTCTTTGATGCAATGTCATGAGAAAGATTTCCTGTTGTCTACAATCCAACAAATGTTTTATTTTGGAAAGGATTGAATATCAGATGTTTTTGTGATTGGGAAATTTATTTGTGTTCACCTTTCATCCTTTGAACTATCCCACCCACTATTAAGCTTTGATGCTCATCCAAAATTGAAAGAAAAATATACAAGGTACAAAATCTAAATCTTCCAGACAAGATTGCCATGCTGTAGTGAAGTCATTTGTTAGATCAAATGGTAAAATGGAAAAAAAAAATTGAAAAGGTTTTTTTATGGAGGATATATAGGATAATTTGGGTGTTTGAAGATTTTTTTAACTTAATTGAAGCTCTATTGATATAAGGGCATAAGAAATATTAACATGGTGAAAAAGAAATGAAATTGGCTCAGCTTGATGTCAGCAAAAGTCAAATTATTAAAAATGTTTTGAAATGGTTTGTTAAAAAGAGTATGATTTTTTTGTTACAGTGGATCGATTGTGGGAGCTCGCATGCTGGAATACTTGTTGGAGAAGTCACGCATGGTATCACAGGTAAATATAATATACAAAAAAATACCTGTTACCTTGTCAGGCCACATGAATTATGAGATAAAACTGTACATGTACCAGGGTATATTTCATTGCAGTTCACATTTTGCATTGGGCATTATAAATTAACTGAAACACTGACAGGAACAAAAACTATGAAATACAAAAGCAAGAGCTGGTCATATTAATGCAAGATATACATGTATTATGTAATTTACTTACAAAGCAAGGTAGCTCAGAAATGTGAAAAAAGGAAAAATAAATGTTTTATTTCTCAATTTGGATTGCTTACAAATTGATACATACATTGCAAAGCATTGAAACATGATTGATTGGGGGTAATGCTCAGAAATAGGTAGAGTGTTATTGAATACTTTGTTCTCTAAAACTACCTGCACTGAACGTGTAGAAAAGTGTGGAAAAATATGCTGAGCAGTAGATAAGGTATGACTCCAGGTAGCATGTCTTACCTGAATAGGTATTTGGGGGCTGCACCATCTGAGAAGTGTGTTTTTCTTTTGTCATGCTCCTTCAAGAGAAGGTTTTCTCATGATTGATATCTTTGTCTACAAAATGCAAATTATAAAAGTTCTGTTCATTATAAAGTTCAACCTTACATGTTGTTGGAAAAATTGAAATCTGAATCATTTTAATAGGAGCAAAAAACAATGTTTGACATTTGTTTTGTTCTCCAACCTTAAATAAAGATCAAATAAAGAAATCCTAGCAACAGAAGTTTTTCTCTAGTTTTGGGGGAATGTTATAAATATCTCCTTTATCTTGTTGACCATTGACAGGTGCTCTTTGATATAGTCAAATGTGATAAATGTTTTGTTAATGGTCTAATGATGGACAGAAGATCTTGTAATGATATCTAAACACTTTAGAGGTCTATTGAGATGTTTACGATACATTTTTAAAAGTAGTGATTCATGAGGAAATAGAAGATTGTTCTATCTATATTAACATATGATGTACCTTTTGTGATACCAAGCTGTTTAATGTGTACTCTTGTAGAAATGATTTTTTAAACAGTATAAAACAAATGAACCAAACAAAAAACAAGAAACATAAATAATGACATGATGGTTGGGGTGGGTGGGGGAGTGGGTCAAAAGATGCAGAATGTATGAAATGATTATAGTAATGAGAGCATTGCTTATTTTGTGCAAGTGCCAGAAACATAATTCAAAGCACTGCATTGTAGCAACCTCTAATGATAAAACGCCGCTTAATGATACAAATAGCATTAGGCGTTGCAATTGCAACGCTTAATGCCATAAAGTATTGCATTAATAGCTGACATCATCAACCGCTAATGCTAAATCGCCGCTTAATGACAGAATTATATCATTAAGCGTCACAAATGCAGTGCAACATCGACGCTTAATGAAACAAGCAAATATCGACATATTCGACGCTTAATGATACACACTGGTGTATCATTAAGCGTTGCAGTTGCAACCCTTAATGATATAAAATTTAGAAATCGCTTGTAATATCTAAGAGAAACACACAACCACCTTTCCTGATCAATGAGATATCACTTGTCAAAATATTTATATATGCCCTTGTGCTAAATAAATAGTAATTATTGAAGGTTTACTGTGTTTTCTATCTAGTCAAGGGATATCTAGCCCCGGATGTTTAAGAGATAGCTGAAAGAAAGATATACAAACAAAGAGATAAATAAAATGATATTCAAATCCTTTAAAAGAACCATTTTTTAAACTTAAAATACAGAGGCAAACAAACAATTAAATTCCTTTTAAATTTATACAATGATTTGAATAGTCAGCCTGAAATATATATATGTTTTTGATCTGATACAGCTTAACACATATCACTGTTAACGTTTCAGATATACGTATCGAGATTTTCACTATTGCTTCGTTTCTCTAAATTCCGAAAAAGAGAGACATCAATATTGACAACTTATGTTTAAGGATGTATGACAAAGAATACGAGTACATGTAATACATAGAATAATATATAAAGGTTCATTTATGCTTTAATAGTGAGCCGTGTTACTTGAATACACCCCTGTTGCATGATTATTTTAGAATCAATTTTGAATTCTAGTATTCATCAAATTGCAATATACATATATCGACTGCGGTTGAAGAGACTGTTTTTTTAATTATAAATGACGCATATTTCATTTGTAGTATATTTTTTTTCTTTCGATATATAAGACTAAGTTTACATCTGACTAGTATTAAAATGAAGTAGATTTAAATGAATATAGTTCTTTTTTCGGTACAAGAGAGATCCTCTCTATTAATACTAGTATTCATCAGAAGTATTTCGTTCATTGCGAATTGGTATTGAAAGGTCGCATGAAAGGTCCGACTATGCTTTACTTGCATTGGTAAATACTTTAATGAGCTACAAAATATTCTCGTCTCATGCAACTACGGCCAGATTGGGAGAGGATCGTACATTTTGACAGTGGTTAGCGACGTTCCAAAGTTTTCACTTTAGCAAATCAAAGTTCCAAAGTTTTTACTTTGCGTCTCTAGTTAATTATATAAACTACAGTAAACTATGTAGTTTTCTATAGTATTTTTGTTAGGGACATGTCCGCTATCTAACATCAGTCGTGAGTGAAAAAAATGTCTAAATTTCAGACTTATAAGCTCACCTGAGCCATAGGCCCAAATGAGCTTTTCTGATCAAAATTTGTCCGTTGTCTGTCGCTGTCGTCGTCGTCGTTGTTGTTGTAAACTTTTCACATTTTCACCTTCTTCTCAAGAACCACTGGGCCAATTTCAACCAAACTTGCTACAAAGTATCCTCGGGTAAAGGGATTCCAGTTTGTTCAAATAAAGCGCCATGCCTTTTCCCAAGGGGAGATAATCATGTATTAAAGAAAAAATAATGGCATTTTTAAAAAATCTTCTTCTCAAGAACCACTGGGCCAGGAAAGATGAAACTCATGTGGAATCATCCTCAGGTAGTGTAGATTCAAGTTTGTTCAAATGATGACCCCCAGGGGTATGTCGGGGCCAAAATGGCCGATCAAAGTTTTACATAGGAATATATAGAAAACTCTTTAAACTTCTTCTCAAGAACCACTAGGCCAGGAAAGATTTACTTCATGTGGAATCATCCTCAGGTAGTGTAGATTTAAGTGTACAAATCATGACCCCAGGGGGTAGGGTGGGGGTAAAATGGCTGATCAAAGTTTTACATAAGAATATATAGGAACAATCTTAAAAAATATTCTCAAGAACCACTGGGCCAGGAAAGATGAAACTCACGTGGAATCATCCTCAGGTAGTTTAGATTCAAGTTTGTTCAAATCATTGACGCCGGAGGTAGGGTGGGGCCAAAATGGCCGATCAAAATTTTACAAAGGAATATATATATAAAATCTTCTTCTCAAGAACCATTGAGACAGGAAAGATGAAACTCCTGTCGAATCATCCCAAGGTAGTGTCGATTCAAATTTGTTCAAATCATGACCCCCGGGGGTAGGGTGGGGCCAAATGGCAGATAAAAGTTTTACATAGGAATATATAAGGAAACCTTTTAAAATCTTCTTTCAAGTACTTCAAAGCCATGCTTAGTGATATTTATAGGGAATCATCCTCAGGTAGTGTAGATTCTAGTTTGTTCAAGTCATAATCCCCTGGGGGGGGGAGTTAAAATTCAAGCCCCCTTCCCCACCCCCACCCCCAGTAAACTTTCCATTCTGATCTGATATGTGCTTTTTTCTAGCCAACTGCTCAGGTGAGCGATGTGGCCCCTGGGCCTCTTGTATTAAGCTGAACCAAATAACAGGCGGGTATAAATGGTACTTGTATACCGAAATAGATCATTGCAGTTGAAACAGATTGGAGTCTTTTTAGTTTAGAATAGAATTAACAACTTTTGAATAATATAAGACATTATTGTTTCTAATTATTCCAAACATAAAGTACAATGCTTTGATATGCTTGGACTCTTAGTATTTAAGGCATGGCATTCTTAGTGCTGCATAGATGTTAAATCGATTCCACTTGGTCACTAGCTCATCTGATTCTATACATGAAAGTAGCACAAATACAAGGAAAGAAAGAAACACAGAGGTCTTTCTGTGTGCTGTGTAGTTGGCAAAAATAAGCACGAACTATAGTTTTTATTGCAATGAAATGTAATTAATTTTCATTTTTTTATCGTTATATGAAAAAAACCAATACTTTGATTGGAAATAGTTACTTTAAGACTCTGGGTAGCACATGTAATTTAGATGATAAAAAGAAACGTAAGTTGCATATAAAGCAAGTCTTTGGCAAAATTTTCCAAGTAAAGAGGAGGGCCTCCAAAAATGGAGAATAAAAAATCCCTTATCTTCCCAAAAACATTAAAGAAATATTTAACTTAAGTAGGGTTCTTCTCTGGTTTCAGACTAGATGGAATATTCAAAGAATATTTGTTGATATGTCATATATTTAGATGTAAGAGGTTTAAAAGACCATATTTTTCTTTCCTCATCACAATTATACAACTTGAAAATCCTCTCCATTCTCTAGAAATGGTAAACTGCGTTTGAAAACTAGCAGGGACTATATTTTTGGCTTAATGGTGGCGTATGAAAATATCTTTTTTTCTGCCTCTCAAAATTATTATCGAACATTGAATTTAGTTATAATTTTTACGCAATCAAAGACTAGACGAAATGTTCAAATGTAAGTTAAATTAATTATAAGGGACTAACGTTTCAAAATATATCAAATAAATAAGATTTTCACGCATACTAGAACTATGTTTGCTTTTAAATGCTTCAAATCCAAGTACAGATTTGAGCCAAAAATCCGTAAAAAGTGTTATCTTAGTAAACGATCAAAACTATTAGTTTTTGTATCATTTTGTACCTTTATGTGCCAACTTTACTATTAATATGTAAAAATTGGAAAAATTTGAATACATGTATAGGAAGCATATAAAAATAACTAATAAATCCTAAAAATAGAGGATATTAGGATTAGCATATATCCATTTTATTTAAATTACCCATG